ATGGCTTGCCCTGATTCCGTTTCCCTTGTTCTGTTTGTCCCGTTCTCTTTGCCTGGTTTGTCCAGAGGAGAAGAGGAGGGCGAGGAGGAGCGGAGGAGCGGCGGAACAGAAGCACTCGTCTCTTCTCTTCTCTGGTAACCCTCTTCGCTTGCCATACTTCTGTTTCCGTGAGCTCGGTTTGCCTATCTTCCTGCCTTGACTCTGTTTTCTGATTTCTGCTTGCCCTTAGATGGCTTGCCCTGATTCCGTTTCCCTTGTTCTGTTTGTCCCGTTCTCTTTGCCTGGTTTGTCCAGAGGAGAAGAGGAGGGCGAGGAGGAGCGGAGGAGCGGCGGAACAGAAGCACTCGTCTCTTCTCTTCTCTGGTAACCCTCTTCGCTTGCCATACTTCTGTTTCCGTGAGCTCGGTTTGCCTATCTTCCTGCCTTGACTCTGTTTTCTAAATTCTGCTTGCCCTTAGATGGCTTGCCCTGATTCTGTTTCCCTTGTTCTGTTTGTCCCGTTCTCTTTGCCTGGTTTGTCCAGAGGAGAAGAGGAGGGCGAGGAGGAGCGGAGGAGCGGCGGAACAGAAGCTTTCGTCTCTTCTCTTCTCTGGTAACCCTCTTCGCTTGCCATACTTCTGTTTCCGTGAGCTCGGTTTGCCTATCTTCCTGCCTTGACTCTGTTTTCTGATTTCTGCTTGCCCTTAGATGGCTTGCCCTGATTCTGTTTCCCTTGTTTTCTTTGTCCCGTTCTCTTTGCCTGGTTTGTCCAGAGGAGAAGAGGAGGGCGAGGAGGAGCGGAGGAGCGGCGGAACAGAAGCACTCGTCTCTTCTCTTCTCTGGTAACCCTCTTCGCTTGCCATACTTCTGTTTCCGTGAGCTCGGTTTGCCTATCTTCCTGCCTTGACTCTGTTTTCTGATTTCTGCTTGCCCTTAGATGGCTTGCCCTGATTCCGTTTCCCTTGTTCTGTTTGTCCCGTTCTCTTTGCCTGGTTTGTCCAGAGGAGAAGAGGAGGGCGAGGAGGAGCGGAGGAGCGGCGGAACAGAAGCACTCGTCTCTTCTCTTCTCTGGTAACCCTCTTCGCTTGCCATACTTCTGTTTCCGTGAGCTCGGTTTGCCTATCTTCCTGCCTTGACTCTGTTTTCTGATTTCTGCTTGCCCTTAGATGGCTTGCCCTGATTCTGTTTCCCTTGTTTTCTTTGTCCCGTTCTCTTTGCCTGGTTTGTCCAGAGGAGAAGAGGAGGGCGAGGAGGAGCGGAGGAGCGGCGGAACAGAAGCACTCGTCTCTTCTCTTCTCTGGTAACCCTCTTCGCTTGCCATACTTCTGTTTCCGTGAGCTCGGTTTGCCTATCTTCCTGCCTTGACTCTGTTTTCTGATTTCTGCTTGCCCTTAGGTGGCTGGCCCTAATTCCGTTTCCCTTGTTCTGTTTGTCCCGTTCTCTTTGCCTGGTTTGTCCAGAGGAGAAGAGGAGGGCGAGGAGGAGCGGAGGAGCGGCGGAACAGAAGCACTCGTCTCTTCTCTTCTCTGGTAACCCTCTTCGCTTGCCATACTTCTGTTTCCGTGAGCTCGGTTTGCCTATCTTCCTGCCTTGACTCTGTTTTCTGATTTCTGCTTGCCCTTAGATGGCTTGCCCTGATTCCGTTTCCCTTGTTCTGTTTGTCCCGTTCTCTTTGCCTGGTTTGTCCAGAGGAGAAGAGGAGGGCGAGGAGGAGCGGAGGAGCGGCGGAACAGAAGCACTCGTCTCTTCTCTTCTCTGGTAACCCTCTTCGCTTGCCATACTTCTGTTTCCGTGAGCTCGGTTTGCCTATCTTCCTGCCTTGACTCTGTTTTCTGATTTCTGCTTGCCCTTAGATGGCTTGCCCTGATTCCGTTTCCCTTGTTCTGTTTGTCCCGTTCTCTTTGCCTGGTTTGTCCAGAGGAGAAGAGGAGGGCGAGGAGGAGCGGAGGAGCGGCGGAACAGAAGCACTCGTCTCTTCTCTTCTCTGGTAACCCTCTTCGCTTGCCATACTTCTGTTTCCGTGAGCTCGGTTTGCCTATCTTCCTGCCTTGACTCTGTTTTCTGATTTCTGCTTGCCCTTAGATGGCTTGCCCTGATTCTGTTTCCCTTGTTCTGTTTGTCCCGTTCTCTTTGCCTGGTTTGTCCAGAGGAGAAGAGGAGGGCGAGGAGGAGCGGAGGAGCGGCGGAACAGAAGCACTCGTCTCTTCTCTTCTCTGGTAACCCTCTTCGCTTGCCATACTTCTGTTTCCGTGAGCTCGGTTTGCCTATCTTCCTGCCTTGACTCTGTTTTCTGATTTCTGCTTGCCCTTAGATGGCTTGCCCTGATTCCGTTTCCCTTGTTCTGTTTGTCCCGTTCTCTTTGCCTGGTTTGTCCAGAGGAGAAGAGGAGGGCGAGGAGGAGCGGAGGAGCGGCGGAACAGAAGCACTCGTCTCTTCTCTTCTCTGGTAACCCTCTTCGCTTGCCATACTTCTGTTTCCGTGAGCTCGTTTTGTCTATCTTCCTGCCTTGACTCTGTTTTCTGATTTCTGCTTGCCCTTACATGGCTTGCCCTGATTCCGTTTCCCTTGTTCTGTTTGTCCCGTTCTCTTTGCCTGGTTTGTCCAGAGGAGAAGAGGAGGGCGAGGAGGAGCGGAGGAGCGGCGGAACAGAAGCACTCGTCTCTTCTCTTCTCTGGTAACCCTCTTCGCTTGCCATACTTCTGTTTCCGTGAGCTCGGTTTGCCTATCTTCCTGCCTTGACTCTGTTTTCTGATTTCTGCTTGCCCTTAGGTGGCTGGCCCTAATTCCGTTTCCCTTGTTCTGTTTGTCCCGTTCTCTTTGCCTGGTTTGTCCAGAGGAGAAGAGGAGGGCGAGGAGGAGCGGAGGAGCGGCGGAACAGAAGCACTCGTCTCTTCTCTTCTCTGGTAACCCTCTTCGCTTGCCATACTTCTGTTTCCGTGAGCTCGGTTTGCCTATCTTCCTGCCTTGACTCTGTTTTCTGATTTCTGCTTGCCCTTAGATGGCTTGCCCTGATTCTGTTTCCCTTGTTCTGTTTGTCCCGTTCTCTTTGCCTGGTTTGTCCAGAGGAGAAGAGGAGGGCGAGGAGGAGCGGAGGAGCGGCGGAACAGAAGCACTCGTCTCTTCTCTTCTCTGGTGACCCTCTTCGCTTGCCATGCTTCCATGAGCTCGGTTTGCCTATCTTCCTGCCTTGACTCTGTTTTCTGATTTCTGCTTGCCCTTAGATGGCTTGCCCTGATTCTGTTTCCCTTGTTCTGTTTGTCCCGTTCTCTTTGCCTGGTTTGTCCAGAGGAGAAGAGGAGGGCGAGGAGGAGCGGAGGAGCGGCGGAACAGAAGCACTCGTCTCTTCTCTTCTCTGGTAACCCTCTTCGCTTGCCATACTTCTGTTTCCGTGAGCTCGGTTTGCCTATCTTCCTGCCTTGACTCTGTTTTCTGCATTCTGTTTTGCTTTAAATGGCTTGCCCTGATTCTGTTTCCCTTGCCCTGATTGTGGTTCCCTTGTTGACGGCAGAGGACGGCAGAGGACGGCAGAGGACAGCAGAGGAGCAGAGCAGCACTGCATCAGAGGTGGAGTCCGGTGTGGAATGGTATGGTGTGGGGTGGGGTGGGGTGGGGTGGGGTGGGGTGGCATGGTGTGGCATGGCGTGGTGTGGTGTGGAGTGGTGTGGTGTGGCCTGGTGTGGCGTGCCTGGTGTGAGGCGTGCCTGGTGTGATGCGTGCCTGGTGTGAGGCGTGCCTGGTGTGAGGCGTGCCTGGTGTGAGGCGTGCCTGGTGTGAGGCGTGCCTGGTGTGAGGCGTGCCTGGTGTGAGGCGTGCCTGGTTTGAGGCGTGCCTGGTGTGAGGCGTGCCTGGTGTGAGGCGTGCCTGGTGTGAGGCGTGCCTGGTGTGAGGCGTGCCTGGTGTGAGGCGTGCCTGGTGTGAGGCGTGCCTGGTGTGAGGCGTGCCTGGTGTGAGGCGTGCCTGGTGTGAGGCGTGCCTGGTGTGAGGCGTGCCTGGTGTGAGGCGTGCCTGGTGTGAGGCGTGCCTGGTGTGAGGCGTGCCTGGTGTGAGGCGTGCCTGGTGTGAGGCGTGCCTGGTGTGAGGCGTGCCTGGTGTGAGGCGTGCCTGGTGTGAGGCCTGGTGTGAGGCGTGCATGGTGTGAGGCGTGCCTGGTGTGAGACGTGCCTGGTGTTAGGCGTGCCTGGTGTGAGGCGTGCCTGGTGTGAGGCGTGCCTGGTGTGAGGTGTGCCTGGTGTGAGGCGTGCCTGGTGTGAGGCGTGCCTGGTGTGAGGCCTGGTGTGAGGCGTGCATGGTGTGAGGCGTGCATGGTGTGAGGCGTGCCTGGTGTGAGGCGTGCATGGTGTGAGGCGTGCATGGTGTGAGGCGTGCATGGTGTGGTGTGGTGTGGTCTGGTGTGGTGTTACCTTTTTTCTCCCTCTCTCTCTCTCCTTTGTCTTCCCCCCTCCCCCCCCCCCCCACCCCCTCCCTCCAACAGGTGTCCTAAGCGAAAGCCCCCACCTCAACGTGGTGCTTAGGTGTAACGCAGGGGGCTTGCCTCCCTGTGGCCAAGAGGGGTCCAACATTCAGAGCTCGTGGACAGTGGAGCAGCACCCCCTAGGAATTGTGATTCAATAATTATACAATAATTGCTACCTTTCAGGACTGGCTTTCACTTAACTAATGATATGCATGTAGCGCTGTGGACTTGCTGCCATGACTCAATAGACATTATGGTACGGTAACATCAGAGCAATTCTATTTTCGGAAAACATTGCAATCAGTGCACATTCACGATATGTACATCATAGCAGTAGTAATTCACTAGTGGAGCGTGCAGTGTTAACTACACAAGATCCACTGCATGTAGATCCACTGTCCTTCAGAATGCATGGGTACAGTATGCTTTATCCTGCGAGCTTCCGCATCATGCCTTCAATGTTTTCTGGCGCATACCCTACTGGCTGAGTGAATCTTCATCCTGCTCCAGGTCTTCTTGCTGTATGGTTTCTTAACTATAATGAAAGGTGGCTGGCAATGGCAAGCAATCATCGGAACTCTCTACCCCTTAACACGAAGGGAGCAATGAGCGTCCACAGATAAACCAAAGCAGATAACCACAGCAAAGCCATCTTGACCCAGGTGCTAATCCAGCCAGCATCGATACTCCACTCAACCGGCGTTTGATTCATATTCCAGCCCAGTAATATCATAGCCATGTACATTGAACCTGTAAGGAACACAAGATGGAAAAAGCCGTAACCATAGGGCACCTCGCCATTACCAGCAGATTCCTCATCTTGAGGCCGGAGAGAGAAGCAGCGAGAGTCGATTCCAGTGGCATAGACTGAGATGGCGATGCTGATGAGGGCCACTATGAATGCCTGAGTGGCACGGGCATGCGGGGTAGGAGAATAAAGGACTATCGAGTATAAGAACAATGCCGGAGAGAGAAGCAGCGAGAGTCAATTCCAGTGGCATGTCCTAAGATGGCAATGCTGATGGCAATGCACAGCTATGAATGCCTGAGTGGCACGGGCGGGCGGGATGGGAGAATGAAGTATAAGTACTAGTGTGTTGGTCATGGAAGATGCTCGTCAGGTGCTGGATGTATACATGTCATCTGAATACAAAAATGAATAATGTACAACAGTACAAATTTAAGTTGAATTGTTCTCACCAGAATATCAAGCCACCCGCCGTATCCGGTCTGGCGAGGACGAGTGTTGCATGCCTCAGCGGGCGGCTCACTCATGATTGCCGACCAGCAGAGGAAGACAAAATACACCGCCATGACGCCTGTGGTGAGAGGCCCTGCGTCCACCTGCATGCACACACACAGAGATGCAGGTGCATGCAAGAGGTATATGAGGGTACTGGATGACTTACAAAGGCACTGTTTACCATCATTTATCATCACTTAATTGACCTATCAATGCAGCAGAACGACGTTTCAAAAGTCACTTAATCTTGCCTCATGTGATTGACCTACCAATGCAGCATCGGGCTATGAAGCACGAGGCAAGCACACCCAAGGATAAACCAGAAATGGTGTTGAGAACCGTGGGAAAGATGATGAAAAGGTGAGAAGGTGATGGGAAGGACGGCTCACCTTGGGATGGACGGCTCACCTTGGGATGGACGGCTCACCTTGGGATGGACGGCTCACCTTGGGATGGACGGCTCACCTTGGGATGGACGGCTCACCTTGGGATGGACGGCTCACCTTGGGATGGACGGCTCACCTTGGGATGGACGGCTCACCTTGGGATGGACGGCTCACCTTGGGATGGACGGCTCACCTTGGGATGGACGGCTCACCTTGGGATGGACGGCTCACCTTGGGATGGACGGCTCACCTTGGGATGGACGGCTCACCTTGGGATGGACGGCTCACCTTGGGATGGACGGCTCACCTTGGGATGGACGGCTCACCTTGGGATGGACGGCTCACCTTGGGATGGACGGCTCACCTTGGGATGGACGGCTCACCTTGGGATGGACGGCTCACCTTGGGATGGACGGCTCACCTTGGGATGGACGGCTCACCTTGGGATGGACGGCTCACCTTGGGATGGACGGCTCACCTTGGGATGGACGGCTCACCTTGGGATGGACGGCTCACCTTGGGATGGACGGCTCACCTTGGGATGGACGGCTCACCTTGGGATGGACGGCTCACCTTGGGATGGACGGCTCACCTTGGGATGGACGGCTCACCTTGGGATGGACGGCTCACCTTGGGATGGACGGCTCACCTTGGGATGGACGGCTCACCTTGGGATGGACGGCTCACCTTGGGATGGACGGCTCACCTTGGGATGGACGGCTCACCTTGGGATGGACGGCTCACCTTGGGATGGACGGCTCACCTTGGGATGGACGGCTCACCTTGGGATGGACGGCTCACCTTGGGATGGACGGCTCACCTTGGGATGGACGGCTCACCTTGGGATGGACGGCTCACCTTGGGATGGACGGCTCACCTTGGGATGGACGGCTCACCTTGGGATGGACGGCTCACCTTGGGATGGACGGCTCACCTTGGGATGGACGGCTCACCTTGGGATGGACGGCTCACCTTGGGATGGACGGCTCACCTTGGGATGGACGGCTCACCTTGGGATGGACGGCTCACCTTGGGATGGACGGCTCACCTTGGGATGGACGGCTCACCTTGGGATGGACGGCTCACCTTGGGATGGACGGCTCACCTTGGGATGGACGGCTCACCTTGGGATGGACGGCTCACCTTGGGATGGACGGCTCACCTTGGGATGGACGGCTCACCTTGGGATGGACGGCTCACCTTGGGATGGACGGCTCACCTTGGGATGGACGGCTCACCTTGGGATGGACGGCTCACCTTGGGATGGACGGCTCACCTTGGGATGGACGGCTCACCTTGGGATGGACGGCTCACCTTGGGATGGACGGCTCACCTTGGGATGGACGGCTCACCTTGGGATGGACGGCTCACCTTGGGATGGACGGCTCACCTTGGGATGGACGGCTCACCTTGGGATGGACGGCTCACCTTGGGATGGACGGCTCACCTTGGGATGGACGGCTCACCTTGGGATGGACGGCTCACCTTGGGATGGACGGCTCACCTTGGGATGGACGGCTCACCTTGGGATGGACGGCTCACCTTGGGATGGACGGCTCACCTTGGGATGGACGGCTCACCTTGGGATGGACGGCTCACCTTGGGATGGACGGCTCACCTTGGGATGGACGGCTCACCTTGGGATGGACGGCTCACCTTGGGATGGACGGCTCACCTTGGGATGGACGGCTCACCTTGGGATGGACGGCTCACCTTGGGATGGACGGCTCACCTTGGGATGGACGGCTCACCTTGGGATGGACGGCTCACCTTGGGATGGACGGCTCACCTTGGGATGGACGGCTCACCTTGGGATGGACGGCTCACCTTGGGATGGACGGCTCACCTTGGGATGGACGGCTCACCTTGGGATGGACGGCTCACCTTGGGATGGACGGCTCACCTTGGGATGGACGGCTCACCTTGGGATGGACGGCTCACCTTGGGATGGACGGCTCACCTTGGGATGGACGGCTCACCTTGGGATGGACGGCTCACCTTGGGATGGACGGCTCACCTTGGGATGGACGGCTCACCTTGGGATGGACGGCTCACCTTGGGATGGACGGCTCACCTTGGGATGGACGGCTCACCTTGGGATGGACGGCTCACCTTGGGATGGACGGCTCACCTTGGGATGGACGGCTCACCTTGGGATGGACGGCTCACCTTGGGATGGACGGCTCACCTTGGGATGGACGGCTCACCTTGGGATGGACGGCTCACCTTGGGATGGACGGCTCACCTTGGGATGGACGGCTCACCTTGGGATGGACGGCTCACCTTGGGATGGACGGCTCACCTTGGGATGGACGGCTCACCTTGGGATGGACGGCTCACCTTGGGATGGACGGCTCACCTTGGGATGGACGGCTCACCTTGGGATGGACGGCTCACCTTGGGATGGACGGCTCACCTTGGGATGGACGGCTCACCTTGGGATGGACGGCTCACCTTGGGATGGACGGCTCACCTTGGGATGGACGGCTCACCTTGGGATGGACGGCTCACCTTGGGATGGACGGCTCACCTTGGGATGGACGGCTCACCTTGGGATGGACGGCTCACCTTGGGATGGACGGCTCACCTTGGGATGGACGGCTCACCTTGGGATGGACGGCTCACCTTGGGATGGACGGCTCACCTTGGGATGGACGGCTCACCTTGGGATGGACGGCTCACCTTGGGATGGACGGCTCACCTTGGGATGGACGGCTCACCTTGGGATGGACGGCTCACCTTGGGATGGACGGCTCACCTTGGGATGGACGGCTCACCTTGGGATGGACGGCTCACCTTGGGATGGACGGCTCACCTTGGGATGGACGGCTCACCTTGGGATGGACGGCTCACCTTGGGATGGACGGCTCACCTTGGGATGGACGGCTCACCTTGGGATGGACGGAGATGGCGGTGAGCGCGACGACGAGGACGAGGAGGAAGGTGATGAAGAAGATGTTGAGTGAGCAGGAGGAGGAGGGCGCGAAGTAGATGTACATGAGGATGATGCCGGTGAGGAAGAGCAGATAGCACACGACTGACACCACCGCCATCCACACGTGCCTGCATACATGACATGCATGCATGAGTAGGTGATGTATGTGCACATGGATGCATGTAGATTTGCACATATGTACATCTGTGTATACGTATCTATCAATACATGTTTACACGCATGACGAATGAGTGATAAGTGACAGTATCGAAGCTTTTGGAACGGCCCGGAACTCAGCGAAGGTTCTCACATATTGTCATTGTTGAGCCAAGCGTCGTTCCACACGTAGATGAAGTTGATAATGCTCACCGGCTGAATCATCAGGACCACTGCTGCTCCCGCTATCGCTACCTCAAATGATAGACCCGGCATGTGTGCCGAGGTACCACATGCTATCAACGAAGGTAAGGTTCTCACATTTTGTCATTGTTGAGCCAAGAGTCATTCCAGACGTAGATGAAATTGATGATGCTGACCAGCTGAATCACCAGGAACACTGCTGCTCCCGCTATCGCCACCTCGCCATACACCTGAAACACCTCTGGTTAGGTGACGCGTCAGGGGAAAACCACAGAAGGACGGAATGCGAAGCATCAGTGGAACAGAGTGAGAGATGAAGCAGTGAACGTGAATGAACAAACCGAGCCCGTAACAGGGACAGGACTGAGACAAGAAGAACGCAGAAGTAGAATGAACTTAGAAGTAGGATGAAGCACACACAAGGTGTGGGAGGAAGAAAGCGCATACATACGGTAGGGGAGGAGGAAGGGGAGAAAGAGCAGCAGAAGCCAGAGGATGAGTTTGGGAGGCCACCAGCCCGAGTGCCAGAGGTCACGGCAGCTTCTTTCAAGCTTGGCGCCGGCTGTGGTGGAAAGCATGAGCGCGAAGAAGAGGCACAGGCCGAAGCTCACTCGCAGCACTGCCAGCGCGCCCACACACCCGGGGTTGTTCGGCCCACACGACTGGAAGCCTGGTGGGAAAATGCGGGTGGGAAGCAGGAGGGTGGAAAGCAGGAGAGCGGGGCGCAGGAGCAGAGAGAGGGGGAGAGGGGGGGGGATTGACCAGACCAGCAGAGGTGGATTCGTGCTTCAAGTATTGTGAGAAGGCCGAACAGTGCTTTACTCGCTAGCGTGAGAGACTGAGTGAAAGGCTGAGAGTGATAGGCTGAGGACATCGCAACGTGAGAGGCTCATTGGCGTGGCGGGACGAAAGGGAATGACGAACGGAATGTGAATTTCCTTCGCGAATGCTAGGATACGGGAATACCACCACAGCATTCCGATGAATGAATCACCATGATTAGCTCCGAATGTAGTGTACGGATTACACTCACTGTAGAGATTGTACAGTGCATCGGTGGCGTAGTCTCTAAGAACCCACGCGACAACAACGGAGGCCAGGAACATCCCTCCATATAAGAACTTCGCGGCGACGCGAGAGGGGCCGATGGAGCAGCAGGAGCAGAGGCAGTGACCCAAGGCGGTACCGGCGAAAGCACCGCAGCAGCCGGTGCAGAATCCGATGCACATCGCGCCACGCCCGCTAACTAATGCTGCTGATGCTAATCGCGGTTTGCTGCTGATCGCTTTATGATGATCGCTTGATGCTGATCGCTTAATGCTGATCGGCTAGCGTCGATCGCTGATCTCTGACTGACGGTCTTTGTCGGCTCACTTAGGATTATCGGCTCACTTAGCTATGACGCCCTACCCAGCATAAACGGCGTCCGAAGAGTCGTCAGTGAGTTGATTAATGCATTGTTGGAGGCTGATCATGGTGCTGACCGTCGTCAATGAGCCGGTTCAGTCAGCATTTTCGCAAATGCCCGGCGTTTGACACGCAATTTCTATCGTTGTGCTGGAAGCTAATCAATGATAGAGTTGGATTGCCTGACGACTACTAACAAGTTTGTGACGTAAGAACACTCGAGCTATTCTAGGCCAATAAAGACTACATGTCAGGGCTATAGGCATGAAAGCCGCGCCACGGGAATGATTCAGTTCAGACCAGAGAGCCTTGTGAAAGAGGAAGGCACAGACATGCTTCAAGCTGCCGTGCCGTGCTGAAATGAAGAAACTGTTCCGATCTGGTCTCCAGGGAACGCCGCTGTAACCAATTTTCACTCGAGTTCAACACCGTACCCGACCATTCTGTAAAAATGCGGACCGTTCTGGAACTTATACCGCCACATTGAGCCGCACTCAAACGTGTGGGACACTGGCTCCACTGTTTATCCTTGTTAATGACTACTTCATTGCTTTTACGCAGCTATTTAGTTCTCCAGTATAACTTATCCTGGCTCTGATATTCCAACCTCCAAATAACCCCTAACTTTATGGCTCCGGGAATTTTGACATACCGTACTGTACAACTGGATTTGGCTGTCAAATCACGTGCACCTTGCAAGCACCGTCTGTCAGACGCCACGCAAATGTTGGCGCGAATGTGTTGTCACCACCATCACTTCAGGGAATTCAAGCTAATCCCAAGGTGATGTTCGGTTCCACGGCTCGCGTGCAGCTGCAGCAGGAGCTCAGGCAGGATAACTGACCGGCCTGGTTCTTCCACTCTCTGGTTTAGAAGACTTACCACGGTACGAGGCGAGGCTTTTGGTCTCGATAATAATCTCTTACCATAAACCGACGAGTCGTTGGCCTTGGAAGCTCGAGCCGCGAGGCCCGTTTAATTTCCCTTTCCACAATATTAGGAAACATTCGCGAGCCGTTGGCAAGAAGTGAGGCTTGGGTGTTCGAATTCATGGCGCTGCTCCTCCGGTCGTCGCGCGCGGAGCGGGTCGTGCGCGCGGGACTGGTTGCGGGATTCCGGGGAGCTTGGAGTCCCGCGCTCGGGAGTTCCGCCGTTCGAGATGCCGCTGAAATCCTCGGCAGGAGCGACGCTGCTGACGTGGCCAAGCCCCGCTATGACGTGGCGAGGGCGCGTGGTGACATGGCAGGAAGGCGGGGTTACAGCAGCAGCAGCTTGGCGAGCCTGCTGTCTCCTCGAGCTCCTCCGCTAACCCTCGATACAATCAACCCGCTGGTATCACATTCCTTAAGCAAACAGCTCTTGATTCAGCACTCAATTTCCCGTACTCGCTTTCCCGTACTCGTTTCTCCGTACTCGTCATTATTTCCTGCTTGATTGGTTGCTTGCTTTTCTCACACCCTCTGAGGGTCCCTCCTTACATCAAATCTCCTTCCCTCCCTCTCTTCCCGCCGCTTTTTTGCCTCCCCCGCCAGGTGCGCGAGTGCGAGTACGCAGTGCGGGGCGAGATAGTTGCAAGAGCGCTCATGCTCGAGTCTCAGCTGGCAGCAAAGCCGGGCACACTGCCCTTTGACGAGGTGGGATGCGTTGTCCCTGATGTCAATCCGAGCCATTTTTCCAGACAGTTCCCTTGGCATGCACTGCAGTCTGAGGGACCTCCACTCCACCTAGAGTTGCATTTTTTGAGCCTTGTTTTCTGCCACCCCCTCGCCCCTTCAGATCATCTACTGCAACATTGGCAACCCCCAAGCTCTCGGGCAGCCACCCATAACCTTTTACAGAGAGGTGAGTCTCGAGTCGGCCTTGGATAAGGTAGGCGCCATGCAATGCCATGCCTGCCAGGCCTTTCCACAGCCACATACGAAGAGAGGGTCTCAAATACAGAATCTGGTAAAGAGCCCTCACTCCTCCCCTCCTCCCGTCCTCCCGTCCTCCCGTCCTCCCGTCCTCCCGTCCTCCCGTCCTCCCGTCCTCCCGTCCTCCCGTCCTCCCGTCCTCCCGTCCGGCCCCACTTAACCCCACCAGGTCCTGGCTCTCTGCGACCACCCCTCCCTTCTGCACGTCAAGAATCCAGACGGCTCGTCCCCCTTCAGTGCCACGGCGAGGCAGCGGGCGCAGCAGATGCTGGACTCCATTCCCTGTGCTGCCACAGGCGCGTACAGCCACAGCCAGGGGCTGCCGCTGTGCCGGCAGGTGGTGACGGAGGGCATTGCGAGGAGAGACGGCCATGCTGCCTCGGCTGATGATATCTTCCTCACTGATGGCGCCAGCCCTGCTGTATGTGCCCCCGTGTGCTTGCTGCTATTTCTGCTGCTGCCTTGCATTGAAGTGCATTTTGAGGCGCCTCAAAAGGCACCTCATTGCGAGGAGAGACGACCATGCTGCCTCAGCGGACGATGTCTTTCTCAATGTTGGCGCCAGCCCTGCTGTATGTGCCCCCGTGTGCTTGCTATTACTGCTGCCTTGCGTTGCATTGTTCTTATCTTCCGTTTTCTTCTCCCTTATCTCCCATTCCTCTCTCCTCCATCTCTCGTCATCTGCATTCGAATTCTGACACGACCGCCTTCCTTCTTCCCCCCGTTTTCCCCCCTTCTGCGCCCCCACGTGTCACCACCAGGTGCAAATGATTCTCAAGCTTCTCGTGCGCAGCAAGGTGGACGGCGTGTGTTGCTGGAGAGCTGTTCTCCTGTTGCCCTCTCCCCTTGCTGCCCTCACCACCACCCCTTCTGCTCCCCATGTAACCCCCACGTGTCACCACCAGGTGCAAATGATCCTCAAGCTTCTCGTGCGAAGCAAAGCGGACGGCGTGCTCTGTCCCATCCCACAGTACCCTTTGTACTCAGCCTCACTAGCGCTCAACGGCGGCACTCTAGTGCCCTACTATCTAGACGAGCAGGCACGCTGGAGGCTCGACCCCACCCATCTGCAAACAGCCGTGGAGAAGGCAGGGGAGGAGGGCGTGTGTGTGCGGGCTCTTTGCGTGATCAACCCAGGGAATCCAACTGGGCAGGTGAGGGGTAGGGAGATGGCTCTAGCTGTTATTGCTGGCCCTGCTTTTTGGATGAAGGGGCGCGCTTGAGGCTCGACCCTGCCCCTCTGCACACAGCCGTGGAGAAGGCAGGGGAGGAGGGAGTGTGTGTGCGAGCGCTCTGTGTGATCAACCCGGGGAACCCCACAGGGCAGGTGTGAGAAAGAGGTGGAGCACCTCATGCTCTAGCCCCCACGCCCATGCCCAATGCCCCATGCCGCTTACCCATGCTCCATGTTCCATTCCATGCCCCATGCCCCATGCCCCATGCCCCACGCTCCATGCACCATGTCCCATGACCCATGACCCCCACTCCTTGCTGCAGGTGCTAGAGGAGGCGGATCAGCAGGCGATAGTGCGAATCTGTGTGGACAAGGGGCTGGTGTTGATAGCAGATGAGACAATTCCCCGTACCGCGTTTCCATTCATCCCATACCCCATGCCTCTTGCCTCGTGCCCCATGCCTCCTTCTCCTTGCTGCAGGTATTGGAGGAGGCGGATCAGCAGGCGATAGTGCGATTCTGTGTGGACAAGGGGCTGGTGTTGATAGCAGATGAGACAATTCCCCGTACCGCGTTTCCATTCATCCCATACCCCATGCCTCTTGCCTCGTGCCCCATGCCTCCTTCTCCTTGCTGCAGGTATTGGAGGAGGCGGATCAGCAGGCGATAGTGCGATTCTGTGTGGACAAGGGGCTGGTGTTGATAGCAGACGAGGTGTACCAGGAGAACGTGTACGCACCCGACCGCAAGTTCCTGTCGTTCAAGAAGGTTGCGAGGGACATGGGCGTCAGTGCTTCTGACCTTGCGCTGATCTCCTGCCACTCCTCCTCCAAAGGTGAGCACCAAGGCATTCTGCTGCTGGTTTGGCTGCTCGTTGCGCCAATTGACTTTGCATGAGACGGTTCATTCCAGGCTGAAGCCACTCTTTTCACAAATCTGAGTGACTTGTGTTGCTTGTGTTGCCTTGCCCGTGTGTGTATGCAGGCTTTTACGGCGAGTGTGGAAGAAGAGGAGGCTACATGGAGGTTACAGGTAACTGGGACTATCTCTGGTAGTCTGATGTAGCCTTCGTGAATCGATTCAGCTATTTATTTTTTTATATTTTAATTCGAGACAGCTTGTGTCTTCTCACACTTGCACACCTGACTTATTCCGGTTGCATGCGACGTGGGTATGTATTGCAAGCATGACATCAATCGTATAGAACCTCTACTCATGGTCATGTATTCTTGCTCGTCCCTTGCAATGAGCCCTTGCCTCACCAAAGCACCCTCATGCGCTATTGCCCTTCTAGGTCTGCCATCTGAGGTGCGCGAGGCCATGTACAAGATGGCATCTGTGAGCCTCCGCTCCAACGCGCCTTGGGAATCCCTTTCAATATGCTCATGCCTCACTGAAGCAACCCCATGCATACGCCCATGCAGGTCTGCCCTCGGAGGTGCGCGAGGCCATATATAAGATGTCATCTGTGAACCTCTGCTCCAACTCTCATTGAGGGTCGCTTGCAATGTGCTCATGCCTCACTGGAGCAACTCCATGCATGCGCCCATGCAGGTCTGCCATCTGAGGTGCGCGAGGCCATGTACAAGATGGCATCTGTGAGCCTCCGCTCCAACGCGCCTTGGGAATCCCTTTCAATATGCTCATGCCTCACTAAAACAACCCCATGCATGCGCCCATGCAGGTCTGCCCTCGGAGGTGCGCGAGGCCATGTATAAGATGGCATCTGTGAACCTCTGCTCCAACGTGCCGGGGCAGATACTCATGTCGCTCATTGCCTCGCCGCCGCAGGTGAGTACCGCTACACTACTCTGACCTCCAGTATCCTGATGCCATGGCACTTGGCGGCAGTGCTACTTCACTTGCCAAGAAATATGGTGTATAGGCCTTCCAAGAACTTGTTTTGGTATGGGTTTCATTGCGTGATAACTCGTGGTTGTCCGTGCCATTGCATGTGGGTGTGTTGTGGGTGTGTTGTGGGGTATGTTGTATGCTTGCAGGAGGGAGACGATGCCTTTCCTGTCTTTGCTGCAGAGAGGGATGCCATTCTCTCCTCGCTCGCCCGTCGAGCCAAGGTCCGTTATGCACTCCACCACTGCTCCACCTCGCGTTTGTGCTTTGTTGCAATAAGGAAATGGTTCTTCAGTCAAAGTAGGAACGTTTTTAGATGCCAGCAGCATTTTCACGATGGTTCGATACCAGCCGTTGATGAGCCCGCTGCTCAACACTCGTGGCAGGTACGCCTTCCCCAGACTGCCCTTCCTACCACCTCTTTCCCAAGCGATCCTGTCTCTCCTCTCCTCTCACCCAACCCCCACTATTCCAGCTGCTGGTTGATGTGCTCAACTCACTACCAGGCATCACCTGCAACCCCTCTGAAGGCGCCATGTACGCCTTCCCCAGGCTGCACCTCCCCCCCCGAGCAGTGGAAGCAGCAGCTGCTGTGGGTATGCTAGCAGACACTTTCTATGCCCGCCGGTTGCTCGACGCCACAGGGATTGTTGTGGTCCCGGGATCAGGATTCGGGCAGGAGCCTGGGACATGGCACGTGAGGTTCACAATCTTGCCAAGCGAAGAGAAAATCTCGGGGATGATGGAGCGGTTTGCCGAGTTCCATGATAGATTCATGCGCGAGTTCACTGTTTGAGGGAGGCTGCAATCGTGAAGGACGGTGCTGTTTGGTTCTTGTTTGTTCATAGCAGATCGCAAATACCGTATAGGTGCATGATCATCTTCACAGTTTCCAATTTTGTGATTCATATAAAGCATTGCTATTGCACCACCACATCACACAAATTGTTGATGGAGGTTCACCAATAACGTAGCTGCCCACTTGTATGACTTGTGTCTGAGAGACTCCGTATCGAGGACAGATATTTCCATTCTTTGCAGCGAAGTGTCAGAATCCCAGCCACTAACCACTGGGATAAAAGGGCTTGTTTTGTGTAGCGGGTGAGTGCGCCCATAACCCCCCAGGCCGACATGCCTGTAACCCTTCCCTAGGATCATCGGGGATCCCCAGTGGACCTCTGACACCCCCCCGCACTGGGATGCCCGAAGTGCACACACCGGGAATCGAACCCGAGACCTTCGCTCTGATACCATGTCAGAATCCCAGCCACTAACCACTGGGATAAAAGGGCTTGTTTGTGTAGCGGGTGAGTGCGCCCATAACCCCCCAGGCCGACATGCCTGTAACCCTTCCCTAGGATCATCGGGGATCCCCAGTGGACCTCTGACACGAAGCTCCCGCCCGCCTTTAGGGCGTGTGAGGTCGGATTTGAAATTCAAAAAAAAGTGCGAACTTTGTGTGGTTACCAGTTTCGCCAATGTCGCATAAAGCTACGAGCGAAACTTCGTCAACTTTGGGTTTGGCAACATGCGAACTGCAAACTTGAACAAGACTCGAGTTTTAGTTGTGAACGTGCTTCGGCATGTTCACATTCACGTGTGTGATTTCCCGCACGTTCGAGCATCTGGCGAAATGTGCGAGCGACTCACGAGTAGCAACAGTTTCACAACGAACTCACCACAGCCTTCGTGTACTGAATAGAGACCACGTGGCGATAATCGGGTAACCTACTTTTTAGAACCGGGTAACCTACTTTGTAGAAATGCGGTTCGGTGCGTTTTTACAAGTTCGAATACGCGCACTCGACCTTGTATATGTGTGTGCTTTTCTGCAGTGTTGTGGTCCAGATGTGCGAACCCCGATACAATGAAAGTCGAGTTTGGTTCGACATATGTTCATGTAGCACAACTCGCCCTTAAAATGTAAACTTTCACAAATTCCACCGATCACACGCGCCCTTACACACAGATGTAAGTGAGCGTAGGAAATCGAGCATCTGGCTTTTTAGTAAACGGGCCTGAATGTTCGCGCTAGCACTCATTTCTCACAAACAGCTGTTTCTTCTACATCAGTGGAATACCCACATACGCACGCGTTTGTCTGCTACGAACGCCATCTCTAGGGTCGCCTTGTGACGTTCTGGTAGTTCCAACATCCCCGTGACCGTCTGCCGCCTACCGCCATCATGGCATGCTGCGAAATTCGCTGGAATCCACAACCTCTTGGGCTCGGCTTGAGGGCGACGAGAAGGATGGGTCAGAAGAACGTAGTAGCGTTACCCCTCGCTATAGAGGCATGTAAAGAACGTGCCTTTCTTCCGCTGCTTGCGCTATGCGTACGGTCATCCATGTCTAGGTCTTTTCTCTGCTGCGTCAGTCAACAGACCACTGTGAGTTGACGGTTCTCGTGCTCCTTTATCCGCGGTCGCTCGTGTGTGCTTCAGAACGAGCGGATGCGAAAGTTAGCAACACGTTCTGCCTCGTCGGATGAGTGGAGTTTCACGCGACCAGACGAGGCTGACAGGTCCAAGGAATTCGCGGCAAGACTCGAGCAAGCTTGGAGCATAAGAAAGGTGCATCCTCCTGCTTTCGCTGACCCATGCATGTCAACTTTTAATACTTGCGTAACCCTGTCTCATCTGCGTACCCCTGTAGCAATAGCATCCCGACTGATGGTCTCCATTCTGTCAACCACCCTGGCTCTCTTCCATCTCTGATTTTTGAAATTGAGCAGAACCAGGGTCCTGTCGCATGCGAGGAGTGCATGGCTCAGGGCTGTATCGAGTGCAAGTGGTGCCGTGGGACTGGTTACTTCATTGTGGGAGACAGTCTGCTATGCTCGGTGTCTTCACGGAGCAGCACTTGCGTAATCTGCGGCGGGAAGGTGAGTCTACTCTTTGGAAGAGCATTGTGTTTACTCATGTCTCTTTTTAGGGCAAGGAACTGTTTGTTCGTTTTTCTCCACTTGTTGGGTATGGTCGTTCTAATATGCATCTTGTGTGGCACACCTATGCAGGGTACTGTCCGTTGCCTTGACTGTGCTGGTACTGGTTTCAGAGCTCGTTGGCTTAAAAGACCTACCCCAGGGAAACAACCATCAGGTTGAACATTTTTGTTCTCTTCCTGGCAAAGTGGTTCGAGATGTTGGCCAGGTTGGTGGGAGGGGCCTGATGAGATCGGTTGCATCATTTTCATTGTCTAGTTAGATTTGAGGGGCCCTTTGCCATAGGCTCAATCTGTACATAGATGACATAGAAATGCGAAAGAACTATGCTTGGCTTGTAACGTTATTGCTCCCAGCACATTCGCCATTAGTTGTGAACACTCGGCACCTTCGCCAAGCATTCAGGCATCCAGAAAGGTCTGCTTGGCTGGCTCAATGATTCGATTCTTTCCGCGTTCTTTTTAACGGAGTTGATTGTGACGATTGCATGGCGCTAACGTTTTCCCTCATTCTACCCCGTTCTTGGCAAGGTTGGTTGGGTTGCTGTGCTGTATCCCCTCCCTCCACCCTTCTTGCCTCAAAACCACTCATTTCCTTGTTACCACCTACCCAGCACAACTCCTCTCCTACAGCCCTAAAGCTGCTTCCTGCTACTTTCTAGCCTCGGAACCTTGCATGGTGCTATGAGGTTGCTCTAACAATGTCCTAGGGCTGTCCGACTGTGGTGCAGACCTGTTTAGAGTGTCGTGTCGGTAGCACAGGCCGATATTAGATTGGTCTAGTGGTGAAAAAAACTTTTTGTTTTCCGTGTGCGGAACTATGGAGCGATATGAGATCCTCAAGGATATTGGGTCGGGAAATTTCGGGATTGCGAAGTTAATGCGAGATAAGAGAACTAAGGAGATGGTGGCGGTGAAGTTCATTGAGCGTGGCGACAAGGCACGTGCATATTCGTTGCGTTCATTTTTCCTCCAACCGAGCTGGAATCGCGCTCTTTATTCTGGTTGACGAGTCTTTGATTTTTTCCAAAAGGGTTGCTTGATGTTCGCAGATCGACGAGAATGTTCAGCGTGAAATCATTAACCATCGCTCTCTTAGGCATCCTAACATCATTCGATTCCGTGAGGTGCGTCGCTCATCTTCCCTCTGCTCCGCAGCTGCTTTAGGTTTCTCGTGTGATTGTTCAGCTAGTGACCGTTGGAAGTTTGTTATTTGTTGTTATTTTCCAGGTTTGCCTCACTCCTCAGCATTTGGCCATCATAATGGAGTATGCGGCTGGTGGTGAGCTATTCGAGCGAATCTGCAACGCTGGTCGTTTCAGCGAAGACGAGGTACGTGTTGCACGCATGTTTGTCATCCATCTTCCTTCTCAATGGCGCTTGGGTTGCAGTTGTTGACGCATTCTTTTCTGTCTTTCAGGCTCGATTTTTCTTTCAACAATTGGTCGCTGGCATCAGCTATTGTCACTCCATGGTAAGAATAACCCGCGTCATCTGTTTTGCATAGATTCATGGTCCCATACTAATATATGAACACTTCTCATTTGCAGCAAATCTGCCATCGCGATCTGAAGCTTGAAAACACTCTTTTGGACGGAAGTCCTGCACCCCGTCTGAAGATTTGCGATTTTGGTTACTCAAAGGTATAGTGTGGAATAGAGGCTGGAGATGTAGCATTGTGAACCAGCACTAAGTATCCCCTCTTTCTACTTTTCAGTCCTCCCTGCTTCATTCACAACCGAAATCCACCGTGGGCACTCCAGCCTACATTGCACCTGAAGTTCTCTCTAAGAAGGAGTATGATGGAAAGGTAAGCAAGTTTTGACTGAATCTGCTAAAGCATCACGTAATGCTTCTTTCCTCGACTGACTGAAGTGTTTTCCATGTGGCAGACTGCTGACGTGTGGTCTTGTGGAGTCACACTATACGTCATGCTTGTAGGGGCTTATCCATTTGAGGACCCTGATGACCCACGAAACTTCAGGAAAACCATTGGTGTATGTTTACATACATTGCCTCTTTGCTCCTGTTTCAGCTCTTTCCCCACGCCCTCAGCATTCATGACTGTCTGCCTCTTCTGTTGCCTTGCTTACAGCGCATTATGAGTGTCCAGTATCACGTTCCACCGTATGTGCGCCTCTCTCCGGAATGCAAGCATCTTTTGTCAAGAATCTTCACAGCAAACCCTACAAAGGTGAGTTTTTAGTATTCAGCTGGGAGGTAGACTTGGTTCTTTACAAATAAATTTAATTCTCACCATCCTCTACCCCCCCCCCCCCCCCCCCCCCCCCCCCCCCCCCCCCCCCCCCCCCCCCCCACTACCATCTCCCTCATTGTCCGCAGCGCATCACAATGCCGGAAATCAAGAGGCACCCTTGGTTCTTGCGGAACCTGCCAGCAGACCTGATGCATGAAAACGACCCGGGTTACCAGTACGATGATCCTAACCACCCGCCTCAAAGCATCGAAGAGATCATGAGGATATTGCAGGAAGCTCGGGTTCCAGGCATTGCTCAGCCTTCCGGCGATGGTTACCTCAACGATGACAGGGATGACGAGAGAGATGATGAGGACATGGACAATGACATGGATGACTTCGAGGGCAGTGGAGAGTTTGTCAATGCTCTTTAAGAAACTTGGGTCCTTTTATTCCATGTACATGGCTGCACAGCATGAGGTGGCTGGTGTTTTATTGCTCCTTGTGTTGCAGTTCACTTGCTAGCTGTAGTACACATTTTAGCTTGACTCTGGCCATTAGTTTCTTGTGCCAGCTTGCACTGGTAAGACATTGCTGACAACATATTGATGTACAGGTGGGTGGAATAACCTTTATTCAAGAACGGCCAAGAAACAGGGTATACCATACATTTGTGAGGCACTTCAAAATTATAATGACCAGTGTTTGATAAAATAATTATTATGTGCGCAGTTCAGCCACCTCCACTGGTGGTTTTCAACTGGATGGCTGCTAGTTCCTCCTCCACAAACTCTCCAGCAGGCTTGGGTGGAAAGCTAGATGCCAGTTTGCTAGTGGCGAAGTGCCCAATGGGCGTGAGGATCTCATCTGACGCTATGTGTGCAAAAACCTGCGCAGAGAAAATAGTCGTAATTAGCACGATCAGAAAAACTTGCTGCAAGAAGAACAATTTCTTCCCAAGAATCATAACAGTCTCCCTTCCAACTCTCAAATTACCATCACTACACCCGCTGCATGAACTTCAAATCACAATGCACTGGGTAATGGTCCTTCCACCCACGTACCGTACTGGAGACTCGCCAGAGGCTGCGCCCCTGCTGCTGTGCTCTCTGCACCGCCGCCACTGTGCCCTCATCCACCACCACCTCATGCATTCCCGCCCGTACCTCTCCTCCCGTCAGCCACTCCATCTGCCATGTTACACCATCACACACATTGGCACGACAAGAGGATTATCCACGAAAGGAGGTTGAGCAACAATCATGTCATGTTGTCAGCCACTCCATCTGCACAATGCATCACATACACACAATGCGGGTGCTACTGGTACAAATCGTCGAATCATGCCACCAGATAACGCACAGCCATACTGTGCCCCTCCAGTGAGCACACCAGCTGTCTCAGAGCTGTCACATCACATCAGAAACAGTGCGGACCACATTCCCCTGCGCTCACCTGTTTCCCTGCTTGCAGCAGCAGGCAGCCATCAGGCACCGAGACGCGGCAGCAGGTGCCATCCCTAAGCCAAATGCGGAGGCCGGGAAATCTGCACCGTCCGTGGATGGTGAGAAAGTTGAGATCTGCATGGTACCCCGCCAGGACTGTTCCAGGTGAGCCGTGCTCTCCCAGGTCACTGCCTGTAGGGGCCAGCAGGTGTGGACCCTGGGATGGGGTAGAAGTGAGGTGAGTTTTGAGAAGTGATCAGCAGGATGGAAGGACGAAGGTGGGGAGTGCAGTTAAGATGAGGGGATTGGGGCGGCGGAGGGACGATACAGCGTGGGTGCAAGAAAACTGGAAGGAATGGATGAAAGGAGCGACACGAAAAAGCAATGGTTGGGGGTCAATGGTGGGCGGAGAGATGGAGCTGCAATATGAACGGGGTTAGTACCATACCATGTGCATGCGAGAGGTGAATGAGTCCTAAGCAAGAAGACTTGAGACTTCCTAAAATATGAAGCGGTCCGTTCGTACCATGTGCATGCGAGAGGTGAATGAGTCCTGTGGGAGATCAAATCCGACTGCCAGCATCTCTGCCACCGCCTGCCAATCCACACACACATGCATCCCATGTCAACACATGGGACCATTTTGTCCTATGACAGGTCAGCAGACCCTATCACAGCACAGGTCAGCAGACCTTCAGTAAAGGGATGCAGTTCTTCCCGCCCCCACTACCCTCAACCTCTTCCACGCACCCACCTTCAACCCTTTGCCCTGGTCTCTCTCCCCTGCCTTTTATGCATTCCGCTTGCGCTTCCGTCCCCCCCCCCCCTCTCCCCCCCCCCACCTAGCTTCCTCTTTCCCTCGGAGCCATGCCTCTCACCTCCACTGCAGCCGTCGTCTTGCCTCCCCACCCATCCATCACTGTCGCCCACTCAGGAAACCCACATTTTAGGCGCCTAAAAAAAAGGCAGACTCACTTCAGCCGTCTTTTTCCCCTCACCTCCACGGCAGCAGTCATCTTGCCTCCCCACCCATCCATCACCGAAGCCCACTGAGGGAACCCCTCCGGCACCACCGGACTGGCGTTCAGCTCCTGTTACACGCACATCCGAGACAGGAACAACATGTATAAGCACGTCGAATACAGGCGCATCACATTCAAGCACATTGCAAACATGGGATGTCAAACATGGGAGGCGCGGAGGCAGCAGCTATCCGCGTAACTGGTACCTGGTGCGCGCTGGGCCCTTTTTAAGGCGCTTTAAAAGCCAGCCCTCACAAGGTATCAGGTGCGGGGGAAGGGGAAGGGGGAGGGAAGGGGAAGGTCCATCAATCAGCTCTCACCTGATATCTGGTGCGCACAGGGCGGGGCCCGACGCGCCACATGAAGCGCCACTTGCAGTCGGGCCCTGAGGGCGCGTGGGGGCGGCTGTCGGGGGGAAGTTGCGCCATGCGCGCCTTCACCGCGTCGTCCAGCGCGCTCTGCGGCATCTCCACGCCCTCGGGGGTCACCCCCACCTGCTCGGGCGCGGGGAAGGGCGCGGGGAAGGGCGCGGGGGAGGCCGCGGGGGAGGCCGCGGGGGAGGCCGCGGGAGAGGCCGCGGGAGAGGCCGCGGGAGAGGACGCGGGAGAGGGCGGGGGGAGGGGAGGAAGGGGGCGCGGGGCAGGGAGGTGAGGATTGGGAGCGGAGGTGCGGGTACTGAGGTGTGGAGGCGCAGGCACACTGGAAGCAGAAAGCGGATAGACGCGGCTGTCGGGGGGGGGGGGGGGGGGGGGGGGGGGGGCTGCGCCATGCGCGCCTTCACCGCCTCGTCCAGCGCGCTCTGCGGCATCTCCACGCCCTCGGGGGGTTCACGCCCACCTGCGCGGCGCATGGCGCAAAACGGGGGGTGCGAATAGGGGAAAAGGGTCGGGCCGTGTCATACCAAGCCTTATGAGGCTTACCTGAGAGTGCGCGAGCTTCGTCGCCTTGGGCTGCGCGAAATACGACACCATATTTTGGCCAAGTGTCGAGGAACCGGCCGTCTAGCACTTGAGTGACGGCGGAAAGGCAACCTTTGGCCAAGGCAAAATAATGGCACCGCTTGGGTCGTACCTGATAGTGCAGCTCTGGGCGTGAGTGCGCGAGCTTCGTGGCCGTGGGCTGCGCGAAGTACGACTCCGTCATGTCCAGGAACCGGTCGTTGTCCGCCTGCGCGCACCGCGGAAAGCCATGCCTTGGTCTTCGGCATTATGCTACCACCGCTCGGTCGTACCTGATAGTGCAGCTCCGGGCGTGAGTGCGCGAGTTTCGTCGTCTTGGGCTGCGCGAAGTACGACTCCATCATGTCCAGGAACCGGTCGTTGTCCGCCTGCGCGCACCGCGGGTCGCGCACGATCAGCGCGCTCGTTGCGCGCAAACACTCCGCCATCGCGCGGCAGGTTTCCGCCACGGACGCGGGGAGCGCCGCGGCGCCCGTCTGCCCTGCGGCGGCATTTCCCGCTTGCTCGCGACGCGCAGCCTCTTTCAGGTGCAGAAAATCCGTCAGATCAAACGGCTGCAGGGACACCATCTTGACCGCTGGACGGACAGCAGCGGCAGCAGCGGGTTCGCCGCGATGCTGGTTGCGTAGGAGGTTACTAGCAGCCGTCGCAGCTTCTGTGTGCTGACACTCTTCTCGCACTCGGATAAGAAGATTTACCGAGTGCGCAGCGCTGGACGGACAGCAGCGGCAGCAGCGGGTTCGCACGGGGGTCGCTCCGAGGTTGTAAAGCGAGGAGGAATGCGGCTCTTGAATTGTGAAAGCAGAGAAGGACGATTGCTAGGTGCGAGTGTAAGCGATATCTATTTACAGGTATGGCCCGCTTAGACGTGGGCCGGAGTGACGGGCGACAGGAAACCTGGAACCGTCACGAAAAAAGCGGCGCTTGCTCGGTCTGGAATGGCGGGAAATACCAGTTACCAGGCCTCCAAACTCGTCGCCTCCGCGCCTAACGGGTGAAATCCTTCCTAGAATGAGCTGTGCTGCTAGGAAGGAATGTGCTTCGCTGCTTGGTTCGGCGAAAAATGAGGATGTTCTCGTGGTGTTCAGGACGTGGGCACTCGCATCCATTTTGGTGATCGATTGAAAATTTTCGACCTGCCACCGTACTGGAAACCTGCTATTATAATCTAAAACTTTCCGAACCTGTTTAAAATTCGTTTAAAAAAAATCCTGCCCCGAAATCGATCGCCGAAATCGATGTGAGTGCCCGCGTCCTCAGTTTGAACGCTCGAACTTGGTGTATTCGTTAAAGAATGCCTCGCTTGGAGGTTAGGTGTTTGTTAGCGTGAAGTTGACGACCGTCTGCAGCCAGCAAAAGAATTGTGCTGTTTTTGTAACTGTGCCGTGGCGGCAAGATCTCATTCGCGAAAATCGTGATCAGTTTCGCAAACTGGTTATGACGTTCTAAGCTTCGCAATCATTTGCGCAGGAAACAATTGGGAGCCAGTGGATCCGCTTTCCGCCATCGCTGTCTGGCAGAAACCAAGCCTACAATGGCTGCACAAGTGACCATGCATTGTTGACCATCACTGCAACAAATCCGTAGAAGCAAGTGGTTTCTTCATACTGCGGTATCGTGTTAGCACGCACTCGCTCGAGCGCTTTCGCATTCAAGATTCCTGTATGAGACGATATTGAGATTTGCATTTGTCCTTCCCTCTCGTCAAGCCCAAGCGTCCTCGAATCGCAGTCGACGAAATGGCCTCTCTGCAATCGGGATACCCCGCTATGGGCCTCGATCCTTCCGCGACTCGCGTTATCTCCTCAGCATGGAGGAATCTGGACCGTTCATTGAACGCTCTGATCGAAGGAATCAACGGCCGGATTAGCAGCAGAGCATACAGCGCGACGGAAGGCGACGGAAGCAGCGAAAAAGGCGACACAATCGGGGGATTTGCGTGGAACGCGGGAGGAGGCACGCGCAGGGCCGTGAAATTCTGGCGGAACGGGGAGAGGCGGAAGGATCTGGCCGAGCTGTGCCGACGTGGCATGGGACAAGTGACGCTTGATTACGTCAGCGGCTGCCTGAAGGTGAGTGGGCGTGTTTGCGTCTGCCATGCCTGTTTCCACCTGTCTGGATCGGAAGCGTCTTGGACGGAACAGGGGTTATAGAGCCTCAATGTCTCCTGTTTCATCCTGCTACTATGTTTTCTGTTAACCACTGTACTTCCCTGCTCTGATCTGCTCTGCTCTGCTCTCCCCTGTGTTCCCTGTTCCCACTTGAATTCCCCCCGTCTCGTCACTTGGCCGTCTCCTCTTCCCTTTCTCACGGCTTTGTTGGTACAGAGAAGTTTCCAGGAAATCGCAGTGCCCCGCTTCCAGAGAGGAATCAGGGAAGCAGCAAGTATTGGGGAAGGTGGAGGAAGTGGAGGGAATGGAGCAGGACGGGGGACAAAGAAGAGGAGTATGCAGCACCGGCAGAAGGAAGCTGCCAGGAAACTACGCATTGCATTGGACGAGCTCTGTGCAGTGAAGTACGCTTTCACGCTTGTGCTTGCTGACGTGGCAGCTGAGGTGGCACAATGCCATGCCAAATATGGAGTCGTGAACACGTGGGATCCGTGGGGTAAGGTAGGAGGGGCAGAGGAGGAGGAGGAGGGGGAGGAGCAGGGGGAAGAGGAGGGGGAGGAGGAGGAGAACGAACGGGAGAAAAGTGGGAAGAAAGGGGGGGAGGGAGAAGAGGAGGAATGGGAGGAGTGGGGAGGCGAAGAGGGAGGTGCGGTGGAGGAGTTGAGGGAGAGCATGCAAGCCATGCTGGTCAACGCCACTCCCCCACAGCTCTACGGTGAGTGCTTTCAGTGCCTGCACTCAGATCACATGCACGACGGTGAGGGAGGGGAATGGGGATGTGCGGTGGAGGAGTTGAGGGAGAGCATGCAAGCCATGCTGGTCAACGCCACTCCCCCACAGCTCTACGGTGAGTGCGGTGCGGTGCGGTGCTGTGCAGTGTCAGGAATGACTGGGAGCAAGTCACTAGGGACCATGGTGGGACCAGCATTGCGCAGTGCAATTTGCACTCATAGACCTTGACTCACACTGTGACACCACAGCGCTGCATAGCACGTTTGCATTGCCCATATGCCCTTACATACCCACCTGCACACCGATTCACCCATCTGCACACCTTCCCATCCCACCTGCACGCCTTCCCAGTTGCACGCAAATTATCCGCCTTCTCACGTCTCACCCAAGCGCATTCTTCCCTGCATGCACGCACATGTATGCATGGCAGGGCTGCTGCACACGTATTCACCCTTCTGCACACCTTCCGACCTGCACGCATTCCCACCTTCTCACGTCTCACCCAGGCGCATTCTTCCCTGCACGCCCGTGTATGTATGGCAGGGCTGCTCCAGGAGTTCCTGTCGTCTCGTTTTAAGGAGGTTTCTCATTGCATGCGCCCATTTTATACCGAGGATGATGAGGAGGAGGAGGAGGAGGAGGAGGAGGAGGAGGAGGAGGAGGAGGAGGAGGAGGAGGAGGAGGAGGAGGAGGAGGAGGAGGAGGAGGAGGAGGAGGAGGAGGAGGAAGAAGAAGAGGAGGATGAGGAGGAAGATGAAGGGGAGGAAGGAGAGGAGGAGGAGAACGGGGAGGGGGAGGAGGCGGAGGCAGGGGATTTGGAAGAATCAGCAGAAAAGCTACAGTCAACCCCACTGGGAACATATGGCACCCCTGTGGCTGCCACGGCCACTGCAGGTGGGGAGAGGTACCACCAGCACCCAGGCGAAAGACTCACACCTCTACTGAACGCTGAGAGTCAGAACCTGCTCGGAAGCTTTCCTGGGCATGGGGAAGAGGAGGCGGCGAGCGAGGGCAAGGGGAGGGGGCCGAGGAGGCGACTGGAGGATGAAATGGCAGCGCTTGCAGGTAGGGGGAGAGGGGTAGGAGAGGGGGGAGCGGGAGAGGGAGACAGAGGAGAGGCGCATGAAGCAGCAGCGGCAGTGAGCAGTGAGGAGCAGGAGATGCTTGCAGCGGTGCTGGATGGCTTGCTGGGCGCTGCTGCTGGTATTGGTGGGAGAGAGAGGGAGAGGGATGGGCACATAGAGGGAAGGTGTGGAGGGCGAAAGGGTGACGGGGAGGAGGGCGGGGGGGAGGAGGAGGACGAAGGGGCTTATGGGGAGGACGGTTATGGAAACAAGGAGGGCTCTGGGGAGGGGGAGAAGACAGACTCGCTTGTGTATCGGGCGGGGCGGTTGAAGGAGAGGGTGGGGCGGGCGTGGGTGTGGCGCGTGCAGCAGGTGATGCGTGCGCTGGGGTTCTCAGGGCTGTCGTTCCTGTCGCATGCTGTGCTGTCTGCTGTGCTGCTCTCCCGGCTTAAGGCGCACGTGCATGCATCGGCAGGAGCCGTTTTCGACCGTCGGATCCTCCCCCGCCTGCATCGATGGCTGCAGGTCACTGCCCTGCCCTTCGTTACTGTCACCACCTGCACAGTCACCCCTAGGACCAGTACCACCGGTACTGACACCACCACCGGTACTAGCACCGCCAAAGGTGCTGCGTCTGACATCTCCAGCCGTAGATCTCACGTGTCAGATGAGATCTCAGCCGCACATCTGCGGCAGTGGAACTCATGGTTCCGCCACGTGGCGGGCAGGGAGCTGTGTGAGGTGCGCACGGGGCAACTGTTTGACATCATAGTCGATTACCCCGACTCCACCCCCGCACTCCATGACCTTAAAGACTGCCTCGAAAGTGGCGGTGCTGCTGCCGACTCTGCTGGTGTTGGCGCTAGTGTTGCCACTGGGGCTGACGCCCGTGCTGCTGCTGGCTTCACTGCTGCCCTTGCGGCTGCTGCTCCGCCTCTCATTGCTCTTGTGGCCACACAAGGAGGGAGCGGTTTGAGTGGCCTGACAAGTCTGAATGGTGGTGTAGGAGAAGCCATGGGATTAGATGGGGTAGGTCTGGGAGGGGAAGGTGGTGGTGGCAGCAGTGGCCGTGGGGGGAATGCGTATGCGAGGCTGGTCGCGTCGTTCCGGGCGGCGCTGGCCAATCGGCTGCTGACAGCTGGCGCATCGACGGCGGACATCCTGCAGCAGTATGTGTCGGCGATACGGGCGTTGCGGCTGGTGGACCCGTCGGGGGTGGTGCTGGAGGCAGTCAGTGAGCCCATCCGACAGTACCTGCGAGGCAGAAAGTGAGTAGGGCTTGTAAGGGCTTGTAAGGGCTTGTAAGGTTTGGTGGGGGTTGTGTGCCTGGAAAGGGAGTCTACTAAAAGTGTGCTCTGCGCCTGGTGGACCCATCAGGAGTGGTGCTGGAGGCCGTGAGTGAGCCCATTCGGCAGTACCTCAGAGGCAGAAAGTGAGTGGTGCTGGTAGGGTGGGAAGGGGGGATGGGGTGGGGGTTGAGTGCCTGGAAGGGAGTCAAGTAAAGGTATGCTCTGCGGCTGGTGGACCCATCAGGGGCGGTGCTGGAGTCAGTCAGTGAGCCCATTTGACAGAACGTCAGATCAGAGGAAGAAAGTGAGTAGTTGGGGAGGTGAGTGCCTGCACGGAGGGTAGTCGACTAAAGGTGTGCTCTGCGGTTAGCAGACCCGTCAGGAGTGGTGCTTGAGGTCATTTTTTAGAAGATTCAATCGTGCCTTATTTCCCTTCTCCCCGCACGGAAACGCAGGGACACCATTCGCTGCATCATGACCCTTCTGACTCAGCATCCTTCTGCAGCGCCAGGTGGCGCCATCAAGGGCGCTGCTGACGTCGCAGATGACGTGGCGGGGGAGGCGGGGGACCCAGGTGACCTGTCGTTACTGGAGGAGCTAAGCCGGGCGGCGGAAGGGGGCGAGGGGGAGGGGGGGGGAGTGGGGAGGGGGAGGAGGAAGGGGCAGGCTTGGGGGAAGATTTGGCTGCGGCTTATGCTGCTGCTGAGCGGTGAGTCGTGGTGCGGAGTGGTGAGGCTGCTTGGGGGAAGATCTGTCTGCGGCTTATGCTGCTTGGGGGAAGATTTGGCTGCGGCTTATGCTGCTGCTGAGCGGTGAGTGGTGTGGTGAGGGGGGCATTGCTGGTGACTGGTGAGGCAGGCGCTGCTAGTGAGCAGTGGGGCGGGCGCTGCGTGTGATTTGAGATGTCTCAAACCGCTTGGCGAGTGACCTTCTCCACACACTCTGGACTTTCAACTACTCTGCCTCCCCTCCTCCCGCAACTGGCAGCCAGATCCGATCGGTCTGATCCCTGGCACAGAGGGCGCGGGACATAGTGCGGGTGCTGGGGGGGGTGTTTGCCACACCGCTTGATCGGGCAACCATTCTTTGCATTCGCCCTTTCCCGCCCTCCTTCCCGAACTTCTTATTCCCGCAGCTGGCAGCCAGACCCTATAGACGCCGATCCCTGGCAGTCGTCAGGGCAGGCGCAGAGGGCGCGGGACATAGTGCGTGTGCTGGCGGGGGTGTTTGGGTCGCGGGAGGTGCTGCTGGGGGAGTATCGCGGAATGCTGGCAGAGCGGCTGGTGGGGCGCGCTGGGTATGACACTGACAGGGACGTGCGGACGCTGGAGCTGCTCAAGGTGCGTGGGAGGTAGAGAGAGAGTGAATGTGGTCAATGTGTAGACTATACATCTGTGCTCCAATGAAGGTGCTGCTGCTGGGGGAGTTTCGTGGCATGCTGGCAGAGAGGCTGGTGGGGTGCGCTGGGTACGACACCGACAGGGACGTTCGCACACTGGAGCTGCTCAAGGTGCGAGGGTGGGAGAGAGGGAGCTCAATGTTACTGTGTTACACTCACGGTCAAGGGATGCATTTCAATATAAAGGGTTCGACACTGACAGGGACGTGCGCACTCTGCAGCTGCTCAAGGTGCGTGGGGGAGAGTGAAGAGAAACCAGTGCTTATGTGTTCCACTCAAGGTGAAGGTAACTGCTATGTGTGTGTGCTCTTTTGGAGGTGCTGCTGGGGGAGTATCGCAGCATGCTGGCAGAGAGGCTGGTGGGGCGCGCTGGGTATGACACCGACAGGGACGTTCGCACCCTGGAGCTGCTCAACGTGGGTGGGAATGGGGGAGAATGAGAGCTCGAGAGACGTACCCGAGCGCGCCTGTAAGGTCGTCAAGCACGATGCGGTACACACTTGTGTCCAGCTGGCACAGCACAGTATAGTGGGGCAGTACGTCTCTCGGGCTCTGCTGCACGTCAGGCTGTGCACGCATGGCATGGCATGGCATGGCATGGCATGGCATGGCATGGCATGGCATGGCATGGCATGGCATGGCATGGCATGGCATCACATCGCATCGCATTGCATGGCAGGGGCTGGGTGGAGTGGGAACAGCATGGCGCGGCAAAGGTTGTGTTTTTTTTTTTTTTTCCATTTGTGTTTCGGAGAATCAGATCTGCACGCATGTGAGGTGATGCTGAGGGACATGGTGGACTCAAAGGCATCAACGGCCACCCCACCCTGCCCATCCCCCCACCACCACTCCCCCCGTGCGTCCCCAACCCTTTACCTTGTAGTTCCGGTTTGGAGAGTCCAACTTGGCGACATGGCGGATTCAAAACGCATCAACCACCACCCCACCCTGTCCAACCCTCCCCCCCACCCCCCCTGCATCCCCACCTCTTCCTACTCATAGCTCCGGTTTGGCGAGTCGAATCTCCACGCATGCGAGGTGATGCTGAGGGACATGGCGGATTCGAAGCGCATCAACGGGAACGTGAAGGCGGCCATGCGGCAGGCAAGGGAGGAGGCTCGGGACTTGGCAGAGGCGCGTTCCAATATTGCTCGCTCGAAAGCCATCATGCGGCGACGAGGTGAGGGTGGTGCATGGGCATGTGCATGTGCATGTGCATGTGCATGTGCAGGGAGGAAGGTTGGGGAAGCGAGGAGAGGGTGAGGGATGAGGAGAGTAGTGAAGGTGGGCATGAGGAAGACAAGCGAGAAGGAGGTTCAGGCACTGGCGGAGGCCTGTTCGCTTTTGAGTGGCCTCAAAAGCAAAGCACTGGCGGAGGCTCGTTCTGCTATTGCTCGTGCTGCTATTGTTCCTATTCACCAACTTTTCCATCTCCCCTCCCTTTCCCCCTCTTTCTCAAATAATTTCACACTCGTGTGCAGGCCTATCAGTGGTGGGGGCAGGGAGGGGAGCAGCAGCGGCGCAGAGAGAAAGCAGGGGCACGGGGGGGGGTGTATCTGGGGAAGGTCCATCTGGGTCGGGTGTATCTGGGTCAGGCTCGTCTGCATGGTCACAGGCACAAACGCCTGAGCACCTGGTGGTGAGGGGCATGGCACCGTTCTCCACCCCTCTGGACCGAGCTGGAGGAGGAGGAGAAGGGGGAGGAGGAGGGGGAGGAGGAGGGGGAGGAGGAGGGGGAGGAGGAGGGGGAGGGATTGTGGGAGGGGGAGGGCCGTCACAGTGGTTCACACCAGACTCGTTCGCCTCTCCTCCTCCTCCTCCTGCTGCAGCAGCGCAGGCACCCACAGGTGAGTGAGAGTGGCATGGGAATGGGCAGGATGAAAGGTGTGGGATGCTGTGTGTGTGTTTTGATGGGCGGATGGGTAGTTTGGTGGGTGGGTTTGTGGTTTGGTGGGTGGGTGGGTGGGTGGTTTGTTGCAATTGCAACACGGAAGGCACTGGTAAGCAGGCGTGTTTCATATGCTGCGGTGCACTCGTTTCAGATGTCTCATCCTTCCACTTGTCTTGTCCCATCCCACAGCATCAACCCAGCACTACTCTTCCTCAACCCCTCTCCGCTTTTCCCCTTTTCCCCTCTTTCTCCTTTGTCTCTCTTTCTCCTCTGCATACGCTCCTCCCTTTCATCTGCTTCCCTTGCTGCCCCTCTCACCCGCTCTTTCACCTCCCCAGATTCCTCAGGGGCAGCTGCCCCCCCTCCCCGGGCAGCCCGGCCAAATCTTCTGTCCCGCTGGGCCCGCCTCCGCCCGGACCTCGGCACACCGACTTTTTCCGGAGACCGTTCCGCAGATCGCGGGCAGCCCGGAAATTCCGCCCGAACCCCTGGCCAATCAGGCGGCGGCAGCTCAGCCATGGGGGGGAACAGGGGCAGCGGGAGGGGCGGGCAGGGGGGGTTCTGGAATGTTATGGATGCACTGGGAGGGGAGGGGAGTGGAGACGAGGAGGATGAGGGGGAGATGGAAGGAGGGGAGGAGGAAGAGGAGGAGGGAAGGCCGGAGGAGAAAGAGGAGTTGCTAGAAGCAGAGAATCTAGACGCCACTATTGTTTCTGCGCTCTTCTGGCCGGCTTTCCAGGAGGAATCGGTGCGGTTACCAGCGCCGGTTACGAAGCTTATGGAGGAGTATGCAAGCAACTATGCGACGCTGAAAGCGCCCCGCAAGCTGCAGTGGAAGGCGAACCTCGGGTGTGTTACGATCGAGCTGGAGTTTGGTAACGGGCGTAACACCCAGCAGTACACTGTAACACCCATTCAGGCGGCCATTATCCTGAAATTCCAAATGGCTGGAGCAGGAGGGGATAAGGGTGGGGGAAGTGCAGGTGACGGTGCTGAAAACGGAGAAGCTAATAAGGATGATGAGACAAAGCCGCAGTGGTTGGCATCTGAGCTGGCGGCAGCCGTGGGCCTGTCAGTGCCTGTGCTGCGTCGGCGAATCACGTTCTGGGTGAATCAGGGCGTGATAGTCGAATCGGTCGCGACCAATCGGTCTCCTCCGGAACCTCTTTTCACAGCTGTCGATCACCAAGTCGACCCTGCTTCTGCTGGTGCTACTGGTGATGCTGGTGGGGATAGAGATGGTGATGCTGATGCCGCCGCTGCTGCTGCTGCTGGTGAGGGTGCTGGGCTGGGTGGGTTGCGAGGGGATGGAGAGGGAGAGGACATGGTAGCTGCCGGAGAGTTGCTGATCGGGGATGATGGTGAGGAGGAGGAGGGGGGAGGCATGGTGGCGTCGTTGGAAGCGCAGAGAAAGCAGGAGAGTGCGGTGCACGAGTCTTTCATAACAGGCATGCTCACCACGTTTGAAGGCCTGCCTATAGAGCGCATCCACAACATGCTCAAGATGTTTGTGTCTGATCCGCCGTATGACCGCTCGCTGGCGCAGCTGCATGCGTTTCTGGGGGTGCTGGTGGCGCAGGAGAAGCTGGAGCTGCGGGATGGGCTGTACCGCAAAAAGAAATAGATGCAGTCCGGTTCAAAGCGGTTCTTGCCAGGAATGCCGGACATGTGTGGTACTCCAAGAAGCTGCAGCAGCTGCACACGTTTCTGGGGGTGCTGGTGGCGCAGGAGAAACTAGAGCTCAGGGATGGGCTGTACCGCAAAAAGAAATAGATGTGATCCGGTTTAGAGCGATAGAAGCAGGGGCTGACTGTACAGCAAGAAGAAATGTAGGCAAGTTATGATGGTACAGTGGTTTTACTAGCTGATTGGCGAAGGGAGACACATGCTGCTGGTGCACCCTGCCTTACTGGTGCACCTGGTGGTGTAGCGCAAGAGAAGCTGGAGGCGGCTAAGAGACGGTGCTGTGCTGGTACACACTGCATGTGCAGCACAGCACAGGGAAACAGATGCGGTCACGTTGACAGGGAGTGGTAAGCCTGGATTGATGGGTTGCTACACCATACACCTCCCCCCACTGCAGTTGCACGTGTCCGTGGGGGGTCATGGCCCTGTTTCCTCAAAAGCATGCAGGAGATGTGGTGCAGGAGAAGCTGTTAGTGGACATGGGCTGTGCCGCGGCAGGCAAGCCTGTGCTGACAGTGCCTGTGCCTTGGAGCAGCCATTATGTTGGTACCGGTAACAACCTCGCAGAAAGAATTATATCACAGGTGGTAGTCTGTGTTACAGACCTGTTCATTTACCGTGTTGGTTGTGGTTGAAAAATCCACCAGCTCTGTTGTTGTCTTCTAGGCTGGAGCAGAGATTTTTCAGCTGTTCCAGTGCAGCGGCTGGCTCCCCTTGGTGCAGGTTCACATAAGCACTGCACAGCAATCGAAAGTGCCTCAGAGCATGGTAGATAGACAACTCGAGCAGATGGATTGCCACTAGCCCTAATATAAAATGCCTATACCATATGGCTTTTAGGTGACTTGCTTTGGCAGGAGGCTATGCACAATGTACATGAGACATATGCATTCTTCTCTCGTCCTCCCCTCTCAACATGTACCAGTTACCGAGGCTGCTTCAATGCCCTACTTATTAGAAAAAGATTGTTATTCGCCCTTCTCCCCTGCATCCCCTGCCTCCATCTCCTGCAGTACTCTCTCTGCTGCTGATGGCCGGCTACTCACTGAGCTTGACGACGACGTGACCTGCCATGGCCGTATCAAGAGAGCGATAAGGGGTGGGAAATGGAGGGAACTGTAAGTAAGGCATGCCAGGAGGAAGAGGAGGACGAGGGTGAACGATGGTGGGGAGAAGTGCTGGGGTGGTGGAGATTTTAGCAGCAGACTAATGCTTCTCCCAAACGCCGAACGCTCCCCTACCGATGTTTTTGATAGACATGAAACTGGTAGAACTGGGATTTCCAGTAAATGCTTCAGAGTGTGAGTTCTTGGACTGAAAAATAATGGAGCCCTATATTCTGGTCCAGACTGGGAGGTGTTGATTTCTCACAATGCCGCTGACACACCAGGGTACCACCACTCACCGGGATGCTTTTGAGTCGACTCAAAAGTCACCTCGAGGTGTTGATTTCTCACAATGCCGCTGACACACCAGGGTACCACCACTCACCGGGATGCTGGCCCACTGACACGGCGCTGTAAATCTTACCCTTGCGCTTGTGACTTTTTAGTTGACGTCACCTCGTTCATTTCAGCACTCACCGGGATGCTGGCCCACTGGTCCTTCATGCGCATGACTCTCTTCTGACCCGCTGACACCGCGCTGTCGATCTTATCTTCGTGCTTCTTGATTTGCGGATATAAGAACTTCCAGTAGATGATGCTGGCACCCTGACAGTGTAACGGATAACGAAACAGCACATAACGGGACGCGAAATCAGGAACACAACACTAGGGACATGGCAGACCGAGCTCGCGCAGGGTGTCTCTCTGGCGAGGTACACGGATGGAGGAGTAGAAAGATGGGGTCCTAAGTGAATCATTGACGATTTCAACAATGGCACAAAAGCCAAGTGACTCTTTGGCGACACGGGAGTAAGAATAGAGTATCATCTGACCTTGGTCATTGGTAGTTGGAGCCATAGAACGAAGAGGAGCTTGAGGGAGAAGAAGATGGGAAGCCTGCTCGCAACAGATGCATTCCGCAACAGACGAATTCGGGCAAGTCCCGTGTGGTGAATGTGAGGGACGGAAGACGTGCGTATGACATCAAGCAGAGACGACACTTGAGAGGTCTCAAAGATCGTGGTCAGGGAATCAAACATAGAAGCCAGTGCATGATGGCCAGTTTCAAAGCTGAATGAATCGAAAGAGGCAGTCGTGTTTCAAGACTTCACTGAATCCGACCCTAAATTCTAGAGTCGCTTCGACAGGAAGGACGAGTGAATCGATGAGACGGACGCGGAACGTACCAGACAAGGACCCAGTAAAAGATGGATTCGACGAAGTTAATGCACGCTAGGACGGTCCAGTACGTGAGCCATTGCGCCTTGCTGTCCGACGATTGCGAATCCAGAGCCTTGAAGCTAGCGTAGAACGGATATGCGAAGCTGAGCAGGACCCTGAAACGAGTGAGTGCGAGAACAGAGTGCGAGAACACAGGAGATCGGGAAAGACGTCGGACGGTGATCGAAAGCTAAGGAACATAGGTGAAGGGTGGAGGCGACAAAACGCGATGCGTAATCTAATCTTAGATGTATCGGTGCGTCATACACGAGGGGCTTGACGATGAACTCGGTGGTGAGGTGAGGCGACGCTACCACGGTAGCTACAGCGGTCGAGGCCATGGATTCGATGACAGATAAGATCTGAGACGAGATCAGACGGAGCGCGCGTCGGCCATGGATCGGGATGTTTGTCTCCACCTAATTACTACTACAGTACTGAACTATCTGGGAAATGCGAACACAGACTTCAGAATGTATTTCGGTAGTATCGGAGCTGGCTCCGTAGCACAAATCCGCATTTTAGGGATTGTCGGTAACTGGGGGGTGCTGGCACTTCGCAAGGCATTTGGTTACCAGCTGTTGTCAAGCCAGTAATTTGTTCGTGACGGAAATTCGCATTTCCCCATTTCGCTACTGCTGTGAGTGACGAAGAAGTTACAGGGTTGAGGTTGGTGGTGGCGACGCATAGTCAATTAGGGGCCAGATGGCAAACAAGGACGCGGGAGAGGCGCATTAGGCGAACAACCGTCAGGTTGACGAGAGGTTCGTGAACGGTGAACGACATTCAGGAGACGTAAATGTCAATCACTCATCCGCACCGACCGCGTAAAGTAGTACTTGTAATAGAAGCACCTCAGTCCACCTGCGCCAGGGTCAGTCAGGAGATGCCGCCTCGATGAAATCAGCAATGCCTTTGAAAACGTCTGGCTCGCTGCTTATCATAGAAGATATATTGAGAAGGACGAGATTGGTGACGCTTGTCGTTCTGTTGTTAGTTCTGTCGGGCCGCGGACTAGCGACTCCCCGCAGAAGGACAGCGGGAGACGCGGAACTGCGGGATAGGCATGGGGAAGCGGAGATAGGAGAGATACGAAGAAGATTACTTGCAGCGTCGCACGAGGAAGGTGATCGTAGCGTAATGCGACTATGAGTAGTATCTAGGGACGTATGGATTGTAGTACCGGCTAAGGACGCATGATTGGTTTCACAAGAAGATTGTTACCTCCCGACGACCGACCTCGATCACCCGTTTGTAATAGCCAACCTCGTTTCAGATTCATCACCTAGATCATCTCTGTTTGCGCATCCTCTACCTGCCCCTTCCCATCCCCTTTTACCCTGTGAAACGCTTCAACCGTTGCTCTAATTCATCCCCAGCCATCACCCCCTGACCTCCCCAATCTTCAGCTCTCTCGCGCGCGAATTGCTCTCACGAGCAACGCAGCGGCGACGGTAGCGATGGTGGTAACCAGCTGCCGCCATGGAGCCCGCATGTGCCGCGCGCCGTCCTGCGGCGAGGCATCGCGCACGAGGGGGACATGCTGCGCTTCGACCGCCTGCTGCACAAGGCATGTCGGGACTCGAAGGGGGGGGGGGGATGCGTTGACTTCCGTTGTCTTCCGTTGACTTCCGTTGACTACCGTTGATTTCCGTCTACTCCAATGCTTAAGGGAGACAGGCATCGTGCATGAGGTGAGGGGGACATTCTGCGCTTCGACCGCCTGCTGCACAAGGCACAAATGGGGCTGGAAAGGCTGGGTAGCGGCACGCATCACAAGGCATGGATGGACGTGAGCGTTCCTCTCTGCCTTTTCATCCCTCTCTCAGCGTTTATGAGAGAAAAAAAAAATTACAACAAACAAATAAGCGTTCTGCCTCTACCCTTTTTCGTCCCCGCAAATGCAGATCATAGTGCTGCGAGAGCCCATCACAGTGGTGGCCATCGGCAGCAGCTGCACATCAGAGTTTGGCGGCAGGAAGGGCCCGCAGCTCAAGCTGCTCAACCTCGATGCCTTTGAGTTCGGCAGGTGAGTAGGGGGGGCTCGCGTTTGAGTTCCTTGGGGCTCACAGCGTGTGACTCGCCTCGGATCCGAGTCACAGCCAGAGCCAGAGTGAGTGGAAGAGTTTAACTCGATGTTTGATTTTATGTTTGAGTTGATCGGGGGCAGCAAGGTTCGCAACTCAAGCTGCGTCACCCGCTCCTCCCTTTCCCATTCCCTTGTTCTCCACTCCTCCCCCCTCACAGAGTGGCGCATCCAGACGGTTGGCTCACAGCAGCCCTGGGCTGGCTACTAGCAGCGTTCCCCCCCACCCACCCTCACGACTTCTCCACCTCGCCTCTCCTTCTGACCCTCTCTCCATCCGCTGCCCCTCTCCGTCTGACTTCCCCATACTGCCCCCTTCCACTCTCCACCCCCACTCTCCCCCCCCACTCTCCCCCCCCACCAGAGTGGTGCATCCAGACGGCTGGCTCACCGCAGCACTGGACTGGCTGCTAGCAGCGTTTCCCCCCACCCGCCCCCACGACTTTTCCACCGCACCTCTCCCTGACGCCGTGCCAGCGGAGGACCAGCCCCCCCAGCAGCCATACTGGCTGCTCAATCTTGCAATAGGGGCCATCGGCCCTCAGCCCTGGGGCAAGTGCCTGGGGTGAGTGCGGCTCTCATGTGTTGCCATGCCAGGGGTCAATGGCTGGTGGTTCAGTGCACGGGCTGCTTGCTGCCAGCATGCCTCCGAGCACTCCTACTGGCTGCCTTGCCATTGGGGCTAATCGCCCCATAAGCCCTAATAGCCCAATAGCCTAATAGCCCAATAGCCTAATAGCCTAATAGCCTAATAGCCCAATAGCCTAATAGCCTAATAGCCTAATAGCCCAATAGGCCAATGGCCTAATAGCCCAATAGCCTAATAGCCTAATAGCCTAATAGCCTAATAGCCTAATAGCCCAATAGCCCAATAGCCTAATAGCCTAATAGCTCAATAACCTAATAGCCTAATAGCCTAATAGCCCAATAGCCTAATAGCCTAATAGCCTAATAGCCCAATAGGCCAATGGCCTAATAGCCCAATAGCCTAATAGCCTAATAGCCTAATAGCCTAATAGCCTAATAGCCCAATAGCCCAATAGCCTAATAGCCTAATAGCCCAATAGCCTAATAGCCTAATAGCCCAATAGCCTAATAGCCTAATAGCCTAATAGCCCAATAGCCTAATAGCCCAATAGCCTAATAGCCTAATAGCCCAATAGCCTAATAGCCCAATAGCCCAATAGCCCAATAGCCTAATAGCCCAATAGCCTAATAGCCCAATAGCCTAATAGCCCAATAGCCCAATAGCCCAATAGCCTAATAGCCTAATAGCCTAATAGCCCAATAGCCTAATAGCCTAATAGCCTAATAGCCCAATAGCCTAATAGCCCAATAGCCTAATAGCCCAATAGCCTAATAGCCCAATAGCCTAATAGCCTAATAGCCTAATAGCCTAATAGCCCAATAGCCTAATAGTCTAATAGCCCAAAAGCCGAATAGCCTATAGCCCAATAGCCCAATCGCCTGATAGCCTAATAGCCTAATAGCCTAATAGCCTAATAGCCTAATAGCCCAATAGCCCAATAGCCCAATAGCCTAATAGCCCAATAGCCTAATAGCCCAAGAGCCTATTAGCCTAATAGCCTAATAGCCCAATAGCCTAATAGCCTAATAGCCTAATAGCCTAATAGCCCAATAGCCCAATAGCCCAATAGCCCAATAGCCTAATACCCTAATACCCTAATACCCTAATAGCCAAATACCCTAATAGCCTAATAGCCTAATAGCCCAATAGCCTAATAGCCTAATAGCCTAATAGCCTAATAGCCCAATAGCCTAATAGCCCAATAGCCCAATAGCCTAATAGCTCCATCCCTCCCCTTGTGCCTCCCCTCATTCGTTTGTCTTTCTCGGCTGACTCAAGCACACCCCACCCCATCCCCGTCCTTCCTTCTCCCCAATCCCCTCTCTTCCCTGTCGGCCCTCTCTCCCAATCCCAGGAGCACATATCTCGCAAAACTTCCCAAGACCGTAGATCTGGTGGTGGTGGAGTGGGCGCTAGCAGCGAGCTACCCCGAGATAGCCAAGGACATGGACATTGTGTTGCAGCGCCTGCTCAAGCTCTGGCCCACTCCGCCCGCCTTCCTCTTTGTGCATTTCTTCTTCTGGTGCCGCGGCAACCTCTGGTGCCGCACATGGCTGGTGAGGTGGTTTGCGGCGCCGCCTGGCAGGTATGAGTTGAGTTTTGAGGCGCTTCAGAACTGGAGATAGCCAAGGAAAGGACATGCACGTGGTGCAGACTGGGGCCGCCTTCCTCTTTGTGCATTTCTTCTCCTGGTGCCGCGGCAACCTCTGGTGCCGCACATGGCTGGTACGCATTGGGAAGGTTAATGCCGCGAATGGCGGGCAAGGTCTTTTGATGCGCCTCAAAAGTCGCAAGCGGCGGGAAAGGTTGTGCCGTGCTTTGTCGTGCCGGGTTGTGCTGCCTCTTGGTACCGGGCGCTCTGCAGCACAGGTGCCGTGCTCTGCCTATAATTGAGGCGCCTGAAGAATTGTTGTGCTGTCTCTTTTGAGAACTCTCAAAAAACACTTCTTCATGACATGGTCCTGATAACATACAACAAGTGCATTTCTTCTTCTGCTGTTACCGTCTCCTTTCCCACCCTATCAGACGGATCCCAAGACGGGAGTGGAGCTGGTGGAGGAGGGTTCACAGCAGCCGCTCACTCGGGAGAAAAACTCATGTGCAGCATTGCACGCTCTCATTAAGCTCTCTCCCTCTCCCGTGTCTCTCCGTCTCTCTTCCTCTCTCAACTCTCTCCCACTCTCTGTCGATTCCCACCTTACCAGACGGATCCCAAGACGGGGGTGGAGCTGGTGGAGGAGGGCCCTCAGCAGCCGCTCACTCGGGAGAACATCGGAGTGTTTTCGTTTGACTCGTTTGACCGCCGCGGCACGGGCAGAGTGACAGAGGACGATTTCCTGGTGCTCGCACGCTACTACGGCTTCCCTGCAATCTCTATGCGCAATGCCTTTTGGAACCTTGCAGCGCAGCAGGTGGGTCCTTGTTTTAGCAGCAGGTGGATCTTTGCTTCTGAGTCGACTCATCAAGCACGGGCCGCCGCGTGACTTCCTGGTGAACCACTCAAGGTGAACCACTCAAGGTGAACAAGGCAGTGTTTTGAGACGTCTCAAAACACTCAAGGTGAACAAGGCAGCCCCAGCTTCTACTTTCGACCACCACAGCTGAGGGCCCGAACACACCATTCCCACTACCCACCACCGCTCACCACCCATCATTCCCACCAGGCGCCGCACTATGGCCTGCACGACCTGATCGCCATGGACGACATGGGGCTGCGACAGCACCTATCCACGTCCAGCTCATCCCACCATTCCCTCCCTCCACGACCACCCACCACCCACCCACCACGCACCCGCCACCACCCACCATCACCCACCAGGCGCCGCTCTACGGCCTGCACGACCTGATAGCCATGGACGACATGGGGCTGCATCCGGGCCTGCCACTCGCTCGCACGCGATACGCCGACGTGCTCATCAGCTTCTTCCGCACCGCCATTCAAGGTACCCATGTGAACCTATCGTACGTCCAGGTGCATGCAGCCCTAGATTTGTGCTATGATTCTGCACCCACTGCACTGCATCAAGCGCCACTTCTCTTCCTCCGTCCCATTAAGTGTCTCTACTTCTGTCATGGCAGCCGCGACAGCCTCAATGCCTTCATCAGCGCACTAAAAAGAGGGCAGCCGCGACAGCCTCAATGCCCAACAAATCAGCAAGGTGACTTCCGAGTTGAATCAATAATCCTTCTCATTCCCCTCCTCCCTCGTCCCCACCCTCCCTCTCCCATGCCAGGCTTTCTCCGAGCGACAGAGGGCAGCCATGACTGGCCCCATGGCGGACAGAGAAGCAGAGCTGGCGCTGCTCAAAGTGCCTCCGCCCCTCTGCCCTCCCTCCTGTCCTCCTCCACCCTCCCTCCCCCATACCAGGGTTCTTCGAGCGACAAAAAAACATGAAAGCGTCTATGGAGGAGAGAGCAGCAGAGCTGGCGCTGCTCAAGGTGCCTCCACCGCTCTCTCCTCCTCTCGCTCCACCCCCCTCTCCCCCCCCTTCTTCCCTCCTGCTCCATCCGCAATTGCCAGGCTTCTTTGACCGACAGAGGGCAGCCATGAAAGCGTCTATGGAGGAGAGAGCAGCAGAGCTGGTGCTCCTCAAGGTCCCTCCGCCCCTCTTCGCGCGCTGGTTCCCCGGGGAGTTTGGGGGGCAGGGCGAACAGGTGCGTGACTGCACCAACAACAGTGGCTGCTGCTTTGAGAAAAGTAGTATACGGTTTCTTCGGTTTCTTGTTTGCATGTGAACTTTCAAGTCTCTCTGGCGTGGACAGGTGGCGCTGAGCTGCTCGTACGAGCAAATGTCAGCTTTTTGTGAAATACCATGTTCTTGAGGGTGGGCTCTGGGTGGGGTCTGTGTGGCTCTGGGTGGGGTCTGGGTGGGCTCTGGGTGGGAGCTGGGTTTGCAGGTGGCGCTGTGCTACTCGTACGAGCTGCTGGAGGCGACGGTGCCGCCAGTGCGGGAAGTGAGAGGGTTCAACTTCACCAAGGACCCTGATTCCAAGATCCCCAAGCCGGGCTTCGCAACTTGGCAAGCAGGTGAGCAAGAGTGCGGGCATGGGCAGGTGGTGGTGGGCAGTTTTTTGGTGCGCAGTGGGGTTGAGCAGTGGTGGTGAGGTGAGAGGGTTCAACTTCACCAGCTATGTGAATCTTACTTTTGAGAATTCTCTCAGGAATTCACCAACTTCAAAAGTAAGAATTCACCAAGGGCTCCCTCAGGCGAGCCCAATCTTGCTGCGGTTCAAAACCGTCCAACTATGCGCAGGTGCCATGCTCTTGGGCATGTGTTGTGTAGCGAGGGTGTTTTTGAGACGTCTCAAAAACACCCTCGCTACATGCGCAGGTGCCATGCTCTTGAGCATGTGTTGTGCATATATGTTTGGGAGCTTTTTGCGTGAGGGGCAGGAGCGCATAAACTCTCTCACTCGTTCTTGTCTCCTCGCTCCCTCTTCTCCGCTCTCTCGCTCACCTTCCCTTCTCCCTCTCTCCTTCCAGGAAGCTTCGCGGAGTTCATCTTTGACACGTCAGCACAGAACAAGCCCGCCCTCCAGCTGGACAACCCCGCAACCGCCCAAGCCCAGCTGGAGATCCGGTACCTCGTCAGCTACGAGCGAATGGGAGTGGGACACGTGGCGTGCGTGGAGGGGTGTGAGTGCGAGGGCGGGGATATAGACGCTACGATCCCCCAACAGTGGTCGGTGCCTGAGAAACGGGTGTTCGATGTGAGTCAGAGCGAGCAGTGTGTCGTGAGGATCGATGTGCGGCGGGGAAAGGGAGAGAAGTTTAAAATCCTCAGCTTCACTGTCATGTTCAAACCCATGTAGGTAGGGGCGAGGGGTGTGAGTGCGAGGGCGGGGACGTAGACGCCACGATCTCTCAGCAGTGGTCAGTGCCTGAGAAGCATGTGTCTGATGTGAGTCAGAGCGAGTGGTGTGTTGTGAGGATTGACGTAAGGCGCGGCAAGGGAGAAAAGTTCAAGGTTCTAAGTTTCACTGTCATGTTCAAGCCCATGTAGGGGTGCTTTGGTGCAGGTAAAGGGTGCCTCCTGAAGGGTGTGGATGTGAGGGTCGGTGCTGTACTGTTGTACACATGCTGCATTGCTGATACGGCCAGCAATAGACTGTGTCCCGAGCTCTGAAACGAAGGCATGCCTTGGTGCACAAGGTGCCTTGCTGTAAGGGATGCTATAAGATGCTTTCCAGGTTTCCACACAAACTTACTACCGTATTCACAGAAATCCTGAGCTTCACAGTGTTGATGACTTTCGAGTCAGAATTCTGAGCTTCACAGTGTTGATGAAAATCGAAACCTGTGGGAAGTGGTGTTACCTTACCTCTCATGTACATGTAACACATTTGCTGTTAGGTGTTTAGTTTGCATTTTTTAATCCAGAATGTTCACCTGTACCAATATGACTGGGTATAGTATAGTGCACTTGTAGGCATTTCTTTCTGCTCACATAGAAGGAGGAGGTGATAATGGATTTAATAAATGCAGAAACTGCACACATACACTTGAAACTGCACACATACACTTGAAACTGCAGAGACAGTGGGCATACAACATCAGTTGTAACGCTCAATGCATCTAGAAAGGCTAGGTTCATTCATGCATCAGCAATTCCTGCCTCTGCTTCCCCTGCTGCCTCTGCCGCTGCTGCACCATCAGCAACAACCCCCTCACCACCATCCTCAGAACCACCATCAGCATCAGGATCAGCATCAGCACCAACATCAGCACCAACATCCGCATCCTCAGCAGCATCTTCACTGTCTGCAGAGCACACGTTGCAGGCCTTTCTGCATGCACCTGGTGCTGCCGGTGTGCCAATCATGTACTCCTTGTTGCGCTCACACTCCCCCGTCTCCGCCCACGCCTCACAGCTGGAATGGGAGGGGGAGGAAAACAAGGGAGGATAAGGAAAGAGAGTGCGAGCAGCCTCTCTGTCCAGGCCAGATCATGTACTCCTCGTTGCGCTCACACTCCCCCGTCTCCGCCCACGCCTCACAGCTGGAATGGGAGGGGGAGGAAAACAAGGGAGGATAAGGAAAGAGAGTGCGAGCAGCCTCTCTGTCCAGGCCAGATCATGTACTCCTTGTTGCGCTCACACTCCCCCGTCTCCGCCCACGCCTCACAGCTGGAATGGGAGGGGGAGGAAAACAAGGGAGGATAAGGAAAGAGAGTGCGAGCAGCCTCTCTGTCCAGGCCAGATCATGTACTCCTTGTTGCGCTCACACTCCCCCGTCTCCGCCCACGCCTCACAGCTGGAAGTCGGGGATTAGAAACACAAAGGGAGACAAGGGAAAGAGAATCAGTCATACATCTCCATCCCCAGCATCAGCAGTGCACACGTTGCAGGCCTTCCTGCCCGTTCGTGCACACTCTCCTGTCTCTGCCCATGCCTCACAGCTGAAGCGAGAAGAAGGGGAGGGGAGACATTCAAGGGGGATATGGGATGGGAGAGCGCATGAGTTACTTATCTGTCAAGATCTAGTCATGCACTCCCTTTTACTACGCACTCCCTTTTACTACGCACTCCCTTTTACGACGCACTCCCTTTTACTACGCACTCCCTTTTACTACGCACTCCCTTTTACTATGCACTCCCTTTTACTACTCACTCCCTTTTACTACGCACTCCCTTTTACTACGCACTCCCTTTTACTACGCACATACTCACTACCCTGACCATGCCTCAATAGCAGCGCATCGCCCTTGATGAGCTTCACCCCATGCAGACAACCCACACAGGCTTGTTGGTGCCAGCAGCAGTCAGTGTGTGGGGGAGGGGGGGTTACTCACAAGGCGTTGCTGTCCATACAGCCGGCAGCAGGCGTCTCATCGAAGCTCCCCACGTGGATCCATTTCGGCGCGGACCACTTCTCCCCCTCCACCACGGGACAAGCATGCTGCAAGTTGCTCTCATCCAGGCTTGCCGTGCACCCAGCCCCACTACTCCCCCTTGATGGGGCCAGAAGTCAGGGGGGGTAGAAAGGGTACTCACAAGGCGTTGCTGTCCACACAGCCTGCAGCGGGTGTCTCATCGAAGCTCCCCACGTGGATCCACTTGGGAGCGGACCACTTCTCCCCCTCCACCACGGGACACGCGTGATGCAGACTGCTCTCATCGGGCGTGCCATCCGGCAGCAGGTTGAAGAACAGCAGCGCATCGCCCTTGATGGGCTTCACCCCCAGCACGCCCTTGGCACAGTCCGACCACGAGTCGTCCTTGGGCGTCGGGTCCTTGTGTGTGGGGAAGGTGGTCTCTCCGCCCTTGGTCACGTTGTTCAGGTACATAAGCACTGTCGCGTAGCGGTGGCCGCCTCTCTGAAAGGAAAGAGGGATAGTCAGGCAGGGAGAAAGAGGAGGAGAGAAAGGAGGCAGCAGGTTGAAGAAGCGTAGAGTGTCTCCTCCCTTGGTGGGCTTCACTCCCAGCACGTCTTTAGCACAGTCAGACCACGAGTCGTCCTTGGGAGTCGGGTCCTTGCTCATTGGGAATGTCGTCTCTCCGCCCTTGGTCACGTTGTTCAAATACATGAGGACTGTCGCGTAGCGATGGCAGTGGGGAAAACGGGGAGGGAAGGGATTAGCGGAGCGGAGTGCAGGGGGTGGTCAAGTTTTGAGGCGCCTGGGGGGAAGGGATTAGCGGAGCGGAGTGCAGGGGGTGGTCAAAGAAGACATGCTGGGGGTCGTGGATTGGATTGGAGCTCCTAGAGAGTCAAAGATTGTCTGACTGCTCCCATCGATGGTTCGGCTCTATTGCTCAATTCTATTGTTTGCTTGCTCCTCTTCGAGGGGTGGAAGCGCCATGGTACCTGTGGGTGCAGGCGATCGCCATAGAGTGTTTTTTTTTCCAGTCGTTTGTTTGTTTCTTTGGTTCCTAACTTCACTTGGCGCGGCAGTGCTAGCTATGGTACATACCTGCCGATGCAGCGGGTCGTCCAAGCAGGCATGGTGCGGGTCGCAGAGCGGCTAGAATAAGAAAGTTCCTTTTCTGGGCGTGGAGGTGCCAGTCATGGAACCTACCTGCTTGTGCAGGGGGTCACAGAAGTGGTCGTGGTGTGGGTCGTACTTCTGCCAGAGCCAAAGATTGTCTGTTTGTTCGGTTCGGTTCGGTTCGGTTCGGTTCGGTTCGTTTCGGTTCGTTTCGGTTTGTTTCTTGTCCGGGCACGGAGGTGCCAGTCATGGTACCTACCTGCTTGTGCAGTGGGTTGTCAAAGTAGTCATGGTGCGGGTCGCGGAGCTGCTACAGCCAAGGATTGTCTGCTTGTTCGGTTCGGTTTGTTCGTTCCTTGTCTGGGCACGGAGGTGCCATGCCATGGAGCCTACCTGCTTGTGCAGGGGGTCGTCAAAGTAGTCATGGTGTGGGTCGTACTTCTGCCCCACGCCGTACCGCAGCACCTGTGGGGGTGGGCGGAGGTGTGGGGGGGGTGGACAGAGGGAGGACGCAGCAAAGGGTTGGTTTCGTGGGTGTGTGGGCACACGTGCGCAAGCGCACAAAGTGACCCCCCCCACTTGCTCACACCCCCCTCACTCCCGCCCTCCCCCATGCCCTCACATTCACACACCCTCACACCCACCCACCCCACACACCTACAGCGACTCCTGGTTGGCGAGAGGCAGGAAGGTCCACACCACACGCATACCCCTGCAGGCAGGTCCACAGCACACGCATACCCCTGTTTCTGAGTCGACTCAAAAGCATACCCCTGCAGGCACAGTATAAACCCCTTACGCATACGCACACCCCTCACGCCCGCATCGCCTCCCCTCCCGCCCTCCCCCTTTCCGCCTCCGCCCACACCTGCAGCGACTCCTGGTTGGCGAGCGGCAGGAACGTCCAGACGGCGATGCGCTGCTCGATGCGCGCAATGACGTCATCCTCGCCCTTCTCCATGAACATGCCGCTGCTCGTGCGCACCGCCGACACCGACACGTGCCCATCCACACCGTCCACCACCGATGATCTGACGGCGGGGAGTGGCGGGGGGGGGAGGTGGGGAGGGCGGAGGTAGAGAGTGAGTGAGGAAAGCCGGAGGGAGTGGGGAAGCCGGAGAGTGAGTGAGGAAAGCCGGAAGGGGGTTGGGTTCTTGGGTTTGCAAGAATCCACCTTCCGCTACGGACTCACGCCCACCTACTCACCGCTGTATGCGAGGTGTCGCCTATATGCGACTCACCGCTGTAAGCGAGGCGTCGCCTGTGCGACGATGTGGTCGCACTCTTCCTCGGAGAGGAACCGTTTGAACAGATACGCGCGCGGCCGCCACGACGACAGCTGGATCACGCGCCGATCGCCTTCATCGCCGCCGCCGCCGCTTGCCGTGTCGAGGCGCAGCGTTAGCGACGGGTTCCCACCATCCTCAACAGCAGAATTTGCGGAATCTGCGGAAGCGTTAGAAGCGGTTGAATCGGCGGTTTCTGCGGCGGCGACATTGGCGCATGTTTTCGCCTGGGCTCCAGGCGTGTCGGCAGCTGCCGTGCATGTCTCGAGATTGCCGCGATCTGCCTCTTCGGCTGCAGCAACCAGAGAGACGTGTAATGCGAAAGCTGCGCCGAGTAGTAGCAGTACAAAGGCCGCTGAGAGTACGCGACTAACGGCCATTTACACCAAGGTTATTGAGCCTATGAGAGAACTATACGGGGAGAATGAGCAAGAAACGGTCGACGACGGTCAGGGACGAGAAAATGGGAGGGATCCTATTACGCGAGGATCTAAATGGGTGTGATTCTAATGTGCGAGTGGGGTTTCCTGATCCTAGAAAAGCCGCAGAATCCGTTGCTTTGCGACGCGGCTCGAGCGAAGCAGAGTAGTTGAGTAACGGTTGAGTTTGAGCGAAATGGTGCGTGGGAGATAAGGCATGGCGTCTTGGGGAGTTCAAGCAAGAAAGCAACCAAAGCAGATACAAGATGTGGTTCGATGCCATGGCATTTCGTGTTCGCTGCGAGTTCGTGCGAAAAAATCCAGCGAAGCACTTTCCGCTGCAAGCGAGCTCGACAACCAGGCCGTAACATTGATCGCCGACGAATAATTGCTCGCCGGCGCGAATTGACCGTGACTTTATGCTGGCGTGGCATGTCTCTGGGAATTGCACCGGGCGGGAACCCTCAAAATTGTCGGTGATGTCTAAGGAAGCTGGAGGAATGCTGAGTTGTCGATCTTGCCAGCCTGTATTAGCACTTCGCCATCGTGGAGCGCAACCTTGGCAGTGCAATCTGGCAAATCCGGTCACGCAGCCAATAAAGGCTCAGAATTTCTCCACGCTGTCACGCCAGCAGCCCGTGGATCTGGGAAGCGGCTTCGGCGAGAGCGATCAATTTATTGATCGTTTGTTACAAGGCTACTATAGTACATGCCCGTAATAGCGTCAAAAAATACCCCATACTTAGGGGGAATTGAATAATATACAAAACATTCAACTCATAGTATATCCTCCCCGGCCTCTCCACCATCATCACCCTCTTCGCCTTCTTCTTGAGACGGCAACGGTATGCGAGCGTTCATCATTCTCCGACTAGAATGGCCAAATGGATCCCGGAGCAGCATACTTACGTGCTTTTCTAAAGAACTTGCGACTATTTCAGGGGAATCTTGAAGCGATCTTGTTGGAAGGAGCTCGCCATATGCATTAGGTATGGCTTTGAGCATGTACTGCATGACAGACTCAGGAACTGTTGGCTCGCCGGAGAAAAACAACATATGAACCTGAACCATCACCTGCAAATAACCCAGCAAGCAAGCATCAATGTAAGCACAGGAGCAGCACACAGAAAAGCAATCCAGACAGTATATACTATCCACCTAAAGCCTCCAACGATAAGATTGTCCACTTCACGACAAAAAAAAAAAAAAAAAAAAAAAAAAAAAAAAAAAAAAAAAAAAAACAGCAGCTAGGACCAGGCAACATTGACCATTATGGGAATGTGTAATAATAATGACACTCACCCGTGGCAGGATGTCGCGCACATCACACGCAAAGGCGGTTTTGAGGAAGCTGAAGGCGATGTCTGGGCGCAGCAGGAAGAGCGGTCGCACAAACTCCCTCACATGCGCCGCCTTGATGTCGTCTGCTGTCAGCACTGGAGCACAGTTGCGCACCCACAGCTGCAGGCACGAAAGGGAGGGCAGGGTAGGGCAGGGCAAGACAGGGTGAGAGAATGTGGCTGATTTGGTTTCAAGGCGAAGCGCGCACATTAGAGTGAGCCTGAAGCTTGTTTTGAGTCGACTCAAAACAAGGCGTTTAGAGTGGGCCTGAAGCTCCTTTCACACTTGGCGATGTCTGGGCGCAGCAGGAAGAGCGGGCACATCCCTCACGTGCCCCGCCTTGATGTCGTCTGCTGTCAGCACGGGCGCACAGTTGCGCACCCACAGCTTCGAGACGACAAGGCAGGGGAGGACAGAGCAGGGCAGGGCAGGGTAAGAGAGAAAGAAAAAATTGAGGGGCCTTCTTCTCTTCACACTCTGGATGTAAAGAGAAGAAGGTTGAAAGTTTGGCGGAAAGAATCCGGAGGTATTTTTTCGTGAATTTGAACTGTGTGGTCACAGAACGCGACTGAAACAAAACCACTTGAGGAGGCGGCAAGTATTGTGCTGACCTTGAAGTTGCCCTGCATGATGCCAAACACTTGATCCAAATCTTCCAAAGCATAGCTGCCCTCGTACCCCTCCGCTCCCAGTAGCCTGCTAGCTCCACATTGGAAAACGGGAGTGTTAGGGAGTTTTTGAGGCGCCTCAAAAACGACCTCAACATTGGAAAGCGGGAGCGTTAGGGAGTTCTAGGGAGCGTGAGAGGAAGAGGGTGGGAGGATGGTGTGGGAATATGAGGGGGGGTGTGGGAATGTGAGGGAGTGAGTGAGGGAAGATGAGAGTGTGGGTTGGGGCCAAGGAGGAAAGGACATACGGAAACATGCATGCTGGCATCCCTCCATGGTCTCGCCTACTCGCCTCACAGTGCCACTCACAACCGTCAGAACAACTGCCAGAGATGAACCAACCTGGTTACCATGTAACAGGGCATGACACGACTCACCGCGGCGAGGAGCTGAGCAGCACGCTGCGCTTGAAGAGCGTGGGGCGCTCCAGTGATGCCAGCAGCGCCACCATGCTCGCCTGCTGTTCTGGAGTCTCCTCATAAGGCACGACTCACCGCGACGAACAGCTGGACCAGCCTGGTTACCATGTATCGGCACATCACACACCTTGGTGAGGAGCTGAGCAGCACGATGCGCTTGAAGAGAGTGGGGCGCTCCAGTGATGCCAGCAGCGCCACCACGCCCGCCTGCTGCTGCCCCACCACCGTGCACTGCTGCCCCCGCTCCCTCCCCTGCATGCATGCGGCAGCAGCACAAGCACGGGATTCAGTTGAGAGGAGAGTTTTATTGGGGCTCAGAGGGATTCAAAGAGAATGAGACGGAGGGCGTTCCAAGGAGACCAGCAGCGCCACCATGCCCGTCTGCTGCTGCCTCACCACCGAGCACTGCTGCCCCCGCTCCCACCCCTGCATGCATGCGCCACCCATGTGCCCGCACGAGCACGGGATTCAGAGGTGATAAAAGGAACTCAGAGCGATTCAAAGGAATTTTGAGGGATTGAAAGAAATTTGAAGGGTTTCGTTTCAGAGGGATGATGGGGTCGATGGGAATAGCGGGCCGATTCGGGTTCGGGATATTAGCACTTGGATAAAGCAGCAGGTGGTCAGCAGGGGAGCAGCGGCACGGACCCCAACGCCCAGCAGCAGCAGCAGCAGCAGCAGGTCGTCCTGGTGCTTTTGAGAATTCTAAGAAATACCCTACAGATTGAAGGAGAACTGACCTCAACACCCAGCTCTTGAAGCAGCAGCAGCAGGTCGTCCGTGAAGCCATGCAGTGTGCTGTAGCGCTGGTAGTCAAAGGCATCGTAGTCCGTGCTGTGAGGGGTTGGAGGGGAGGGAGGGAGGGAGGAGGGGGAAAGGGGAAAACAGGCAGGGGGGATGGGATCACGGGAGGGAGAGAGAGCAGGTCGTCCTTGAAGCCATGCAGTGTGCTGTAGCGCTGGCATTCAAAGGCGTCATAGTACGTGTAACGTGCTGTATGCGTGCGGGTTGGGGGTGAGAAGGTGGGGGAGGGGGTGAGCGTATTGGAGGGGGGTTGCATCATGCGCGGACATGAATCTGTGCAGAGTGCTGTAGCGCTGGTAGTCAAAGGCGCCGTAGTCCGTGCTACAGAGGGGGGAGGGGTTGAGGGGCAGGAAGGGCAGGGATACGGGAGGATACAGAGCGGTGGTGACGAGGGAGAAAAGGCGCAATGCACCACTGGTAGGGAAGGATGCGACATTGCGACATGCGTCATAGTCCGCTCAGCAGCATTACTACTCCTAGTTGCCAGCGGTAGGGAAGGATGCGACATTGCAACGAAGTGACTTCTGAGTCGACTAAGAGTAGTAATGCTGCTATGCTAGAGCGGAGAGCAAGAGGAAAGGGCTAGAGAGGAGTGCCCCTTACCCCAGAGCGGACTGGCCTTACCCCAGAGCGGACTGGCCTTACCCCAGAGCGCCTGTTACGTTGTACAGGACAATCTTATAGCGCATCTTGTCCAGTGCCTTGATCACGCCGCTCCACACCTGCAACCCATCACCACGGAGATGAAATGGGAGATGAAGATAAACGGAAGATGAAAAAAAACGGAAGATGTGAAACGGTATTCCAGTCCAGACATGAAGCAATCCAAGAAAGGAGAGCAGTTTCGGTGGTTACCTGTCAGGCGGTTACCAGCGAGGCGGATACCAGTTATGTGGTTACCATGGGCGCCACCCACGATCTTGTTCTACCCGAAGCTGTGCACACAAAACACCCGCAGCCCTGAGGTGATTTCTGAGTCGACTCATTAGTTACCAGTGAGGTGGTTACAGTGACGTGGTTACCACTGAGGTGGTTACCAGCGATGTGGTTACCACGAGTGCCACCCACGTTCTTGTTGTATCCGAAGCCGTGCGAGAACACCAGCAGCTCCGGTCCCGAGCCTATGATCTCCACGTCGTGCCGCTCCAAAGCTGTCTTGGAGGCTCGGAGCTTGGCTGCTTGCATCGCTCTGGGGTGGACGGGCCAGCGGGGGAGATGGACGGAATGAGGGGAGGGAAATGGGGGAGCGGCATGGGAAGGACATGGGGGAGCGGCATGGGAAGGACATGGGGGAGCGGCATGGGAAGGACATGGGGGAGCGGCATGGGAAGGACATGGGGGAGCGGCATGGGAAGGACATGGGGGAGCGGCATGGGAAGGACATGGGGGAGCGGCATGGGAAGGACATGGGGGAGCGGCATGGGAAGGACATGGGGGAGCGGCATGCAAGGTTCAAAATTACGACCGTATTTTTGAAATTGGTCTACGATTTCTCACAGGAGCCTATTATAAGAAACCGTATAAAACGGTAACATTTCAAAAATACGACTGTAATTTTGAACCTTGGCGGCATGGGAAGAAAACAGGGGAGTGGTTGAAGGGATGGGTTGGGGAAATGGATTTGGGGAACACAATGGGGGGATGGAACGGGGGAAGAGAATGGGGGAAGGGGATATAGGAACGGGATGGGGGAACGGGATGGGGGAGCGGGATGGGGGAATGGGATGGGGAAACGTGATGGGGGAATGGGATGGGGAAACGAGATGGGGGAACGAGATGGGGGAGAAGGATGGGGGAACGGGATGGGGGAACGGAATGGGGGAACGGAATGGGGAAACGGAATGGGGGAACGGAATGGGGGAACGGAATGCGGGAGCGGGATGGGTGGGGGAACGGAATGGGGGAACGGAATGCGGGGAACGGGAAGGGGGAACGGGATGGGGGAACGGGATGAGGGAACGGAATGCGGAAACTTCCCCGCGATTCGAATAAGCCTCCGCACTCACCTCATGGCCGCCGCGTTTTGCGCTTTGTTCCCCCCAGCTCCCCCGCCCCCCGCGCCGTGTTCCGACCCCGTGGCGAGCAGCCCCGCGTACGTGCTCCCCGTTAGCCCCCCAGCCCCTCCAATCCCGCCAACCCCGCGTACATCGACGCTGCGCGCGCCGACCCGTTCCCCCCGCCGCCCCCTCCGCCACCCCCCGCTCCCCCTCCCCTTCCCGCGCCCATCCCGTGCATGCTTCCGCTTCCATACAACCCCCCATTTCCGCCAATTCCGCCGTTCCCCCCGCGGTAGCTCCAGTCTCCTCCGCCGGTTCTCGAGTCGTCCCAGCCGCACCGCGAATCTCCCGCCGCCGCGTCTCGGGAAAATACAAAGCCGTTGGACGGTGAACCAGGTAAATCGCCTCGCTGGCCTAAACTTGCGAAGGGTAACCCGTTTCTTCGCCCGCTTTCGCCACCGGAGCGTTCCGAGCTGCTGTCATGCGATTTGATGCTGCTGACGCCGGAAATGTGATGCGCAGATCCTAGCCGTTGATCTGCGCCGTTAAAAGCGGCGAGCTCGCCTGAAAAGCACGTGGGTGTGACTCTAGCGGGGTTACGCTCGTCCATGTCGTCCCCCCTTATAGCGGGTCTGCTAACACAGCCACCCATGATATATGTAATTCGATTAAAAAAGTTGGGCTTACGGGTTAAGCACTGAAGATCGACGCGGCGGGTACGGAAGTCAGGGAGATTCACCCTCGAATTGCCTTATAGTAGGGGAGAATAAGGAGATTCACCCAGTCAGAGCCTCTTATGAAGTGTCAGCGAGAATTTGCGGGAATTACGCGCAGATGCACGTTGAGCCGCCAATACACCAGGATGGAAGTCCGGACGTTGACGCGAAACAAGTCGAATGCTAGCCCGCTGACTTACTAAAAGCTGTCCATCCCTGATCGAAAAGATACTTCGAGGTGCTCGAATGGGGAGAACATGGCCAAGTTGGAGGACATGGGGACACGGTGGTGGTTTCCACAATTCGGGTATCTGTCAGTGTTCAGGCAGTGTATATAGCTAGTTGGAGGGAGCCGCAATCGCGCCGAGGGAACAAAGGGACAGGAGAAGCAGGAGGAGTTGGAGAGCAGATGCTGGAATGCCAGAATAAATTCCGTGTCTCCGTAAAGAATGGCGAGTAACGGAGCTTTGTTATCTTCCTGTCGTTCAGTACAACTCGTCTGAATAAAGACACGCTGAACAAGCAAGCAAAAAAACTGCACAGCTTCGAACTGTTATGGGTGGGAGAGACAGAACAAGCAAGGCAGGTAAAGTGCAGCGCAACAGCTCACACGAGGAGGTACACCGCCACCCATCTCCATGCACGTGTCGAGTCGACTGCCAGATTCCAAACTTGATCACAGCACGCAGATGGCGGCAGGGGGAGGCGGAGGAGAGGCGGAAGAGAGGCGGATGGGAAAAGGATGGGACTCGGTTCGGGACGGGACTCGGGAGGGGGAAGGGATTCGAGGCGCAGCAGGAATTGGCGGAGGGGGATGAGGATGAGGTGAGGAGTCGTGGGAATTTTCGAAGGGAGATTGCCGAAGTGAGTGGAGTACTGTAGCGAACTGCACAAGATGCCCAACCCCTGCACGCGAATTTGCCCTGCCCGCGATGGAAACTCTGCACCCGTGTATTAGGGTACCAGCCAGTTGCACCCCATTTACAAGCACCTCGAGCAATACGAACCACAAAAACCGAAGTTTGACAGAAGAGACCCATGTCAAACGGTCAACAGCGAGTTACAAAATCTTTTAAAAGCCCTTTTTGCTAAGTGCGAATTGACGAAAACTTAGCGAAATGCAAGAATCACTTAAAACCGTGGCCCAACTTTCAACTTCAACTTCAAGGTATTATAGCTTGGAAGAGGTTGACCCAGGCAATTCAGAGCCGAGAAGTTTGTCCTTTTTTGGTTTTCGGCCAATAGAATTTAAGTTACACACATGCTACTTTTGTCCGCCTACTGTTCCTAAGAAGTTGCACCCCGCCTTTAAGAGCCCTCTTCACAAGGCAACCTTGGGTTAGTCAAACGGGCATCGTTTGTACAAGGGTGAACCTTTCTCGTCATTCCGGGCAGAAGAAATTTATCCTTTTGATACGGCGATAAATCTGGAGCCTCAGTCCCAATCTCTTCAGTCAAGACAGCTGTCTACGGTACCGTGGGTGAACACTCATGGCAGTGTGGGTCTTGTCTCAAACGCAAGGACATTTACCCGAGACGACAAGGGTAGTTACAAAACGAAATCTGTCAGCTTTGGAAATCTACAGTTTTCGCCTTCAGCGCACCCACGTGCTTCAAAAGTTGTGCCTCTCCTTGTCCACCCCATCATTCAATCACCGCATGAATAAAAAATGCTGCTGATGTGGTCCGCGTGCCCGTCATACAGTATCCGCCATCCCCCTAAACCCTCAATCTTTCAACAGACCGAACTCAACGAGGTGTGGAACGAGTGGTCAGACGACGAGGAAACGCCAGCGATAAAGATGTGGTTGTCTTATCCACCCGTCTATAGCTGACAAGTGGAACGTCTTTTGCAATCTTGGCGGCTGCTAGTGGCAGGGCGGCCTGGCCACACATACCCAATGTGAGCACAGCATACGTGACTTACCCTGTAAATCTAGGTATACATAGTACACCTGATGCCCATTTCAGTCCCGTTCCCCATCTTTCTCTGTGCTCCTCTTTCGAGCACGCGCTCGCTACGGGGAGAATGGGACTGTATCTGGGTAGCCTGGCGTGTCTTGTCTGGGAAACTCGAATAACTTATTCGAGGTCAAGAAGATCTTAGTTTTGTCGTGGGCTAGTAACGCGCGGGCCGTTGGCAGTGAATGTCGACCACTGGGCGTATGGAGTGGCAGTGGGCGTGTTCAGAATGGGCGGTTGAGTGAGCATTAGGGTGTAGTCGCGTAGACATACCAACGAGTCATACTGTTAGTATGTCGATTCAAACCCTCATACATCTGCCGTGTTATGAAGAGTTTTCAGGAAATCTCACATCTCCATAACACTGGTGGAAGCTGCGTCCAAGGCTTTGCAAGGGCTAAAATTTCTCAAACTCACTTTCCAGTTCGTGACTAGGCAGCCGAATCCCAGAATTCCTACATTTTGTGGTTGGTACGAGATCATCCAATGCATATGATACAGCATTGAGGAATCCTCCCGGAAACATGGCTTCTCTGGAAAATCACCTTTTGCCAATGGAGGGTGCCCGAATCAGCAAGGAGACGCCTCGATTTCCTACCCACCATCGTTCCAGCTTGCACTCTTGTCAAAGTCAACAGTCCCCAAAACGGTTTTATTCGGTGGAGCCTTATCCAGCTTCTCAAGAAAGCCACACTGCTGCATTACAAGGGACGGTGTGTGCAACTATTATCCTAAGGGCGCGTGTCTTTTGGTGTAGATTGTCAAAGTTCGAGCCTACTACCGCTTTGTACCGTGGCGACACGTTTTTCAAATGTATCCTACCGCGTACAACCTTTCTAGAAGTTCGAACTTTGGCAAAAGTTCGACCTCAAGGACACGCGCCCAAGGCAACAAGAACTTCACACTAAACAGTCTCACCAGAAAGACTAAATCAGCAGTCATACGAGTTCAGTGCCAAAGAACAAAATGTGACCTAGATCCACCATAACAGCATTATCAAACCTCAGCACAACCAGACGCGATACAAACATCCAATACACACTCCGTTCCACTTTTCGGCTGATCCGAGTACCCCCTCGACTTGAGAACCGACTCAAAGAAGCTCCTAAAAGTGTCAGAGCAGTCGGGCGGCATGAGAAACACCACATCGCGCAGCGTGCGGCTTCTCAGAAGCTTCACCATCGCCGGCTCCTGCACCACTCCCCCTAGGGCCACCCGCCGGAGACACGGCGACAGCGAGAGCAGCCGAGCAGCGTCAGGGGAGAGCAGATCCAGGGACAGTGAAGCAGACACCACCGGGCAGGGCGCGGGCCGGAATTCAACCTCCTGGATCGCAAGCGAAGGGCAGGAGGCTAGCAGCGCGAGCTCGAGTGAGGCCAAGGCGGGAGCAGTGGCAGTCTGGATTCCTTCGAGAGAGAGGAAGAGGTAGGTGAGTGCGGGGGGTTGGGAGAGGAAGGCGAGGGAGTAGTGGTGTGGTGGGAGCGGAAGGGTGTCTTGCTCGAGAGCGCCGTAGAGAGAGAGGAAGAAGAACTTGAGGTTGGGGCAGGACGCCAGGCCAGCACTGTGATGGAGATGGGCGGGAAGAGGCGGGGAGGATCAGCAGGGTCGTATAGGAGAGCGAGGAGGAGGAAAGGGGGACAGCAAGAGCAAGTAAGGAAGAGAAATGCTAAATCAAGATGGGCGCTTGGCGTTTGGACAGGCTCGGCTCAACCAACTTCTCAGCCTCAATGACTCACCTCAGCACAGAAGCAAGGCATCTGAGCAGAGAAGCACCACTGATGTGCGTGAACAAAGTGAACAAATGGAGAATATACCTGAGCAAGGGAGAAAGCGATGCGTCCACAGAGACTTCAAGGCAGAGCGACTCGAGAGCGGAGAAGCAGGCGAGGGGCAGCGGGGGGCTGGTGTGCGTCCAGGACGCAGTCATCTGAATGCCCTTGAGGACCGTGCGCGCTGGCATGAGCGCTTGCAGCAACTCGTGTGAGTCCACATTGTCACACTGCAGGAAGATGGGGGAATGGGGTGATGGGGTGAGAAAGAGGTGAGAATGAATGTTTGGTCATGGTCCGAAATGGGGGGGGGGCTGCAGTGGGTCCAGGACACGGTCATCTGAATGCCCTTGAGGGAGATGTGCGCGCTGGCATGAGTGCATGCAGCAGCTCGCGTGAATCCACATTGTCACACTGCATGAGGGTGGGGGGATGGGATGACAGGAGAAAGGGTGAAAACGAACGTTCCTGTACAGTCAAAAACGGGATGGTGGCATAGAAGTAAGGAATAAAGGGAAGAGGGAGATGGTGGGTTGGCAAGGGTGGGAGGAATACCCCACGTCTACCCTCCCAACGAGACCACGGCCCCCCTCCCTCACCTGCATCACTCGCACGCTCTCCAGAGCGTGCCCGCGCGCCCTGCAGCTCCCACCAACCGCAGCCACTGCACACTGCCCCCCAGCAGCGCACACAGCGCAGCCCAGCGCAAAGGCGCGGGCCGATAGCCGGTGGTTTGCCACCACCTCGAGCCTCCGCAGCTTGGGGCACCCCTGTAGCACTGCCTGCACGTCCCTGTCTGTCATGTCAGAGCACATCTGTAACTCCAACTCCTCCAGTGAGGTGAATTGAGCAAGGGGCGGGAGGAGAGGAGGCTGCAAGAGGGGAGAGCGTGGGACGCGAGGGGGGCACCCCTCGAGTACCGCCTGCACGTCCCTGTCTGTCATGTCAGAGCACATCTGTAACTCCGACTCCTCAAGAGCCGCGAACTGAGCGAGGGGTGGGAGGACAGGAGGCTGCGAGAGGGGAGAACGTGGAGTGATGGGCGGGCAGGAGGAGCCAGTGGCGCTGATGCTCGTGTTGGTGTTGGTGCTGGTGCTGGTGCCAGTGCTGATGCAGCCACTAGTGCAAGGGAGGGCGTTGGGGCAGGTAGCGATGCTGGTGGTAGTGCTACCAGTGCTCGTGGTCTCATTGCTGCCAGCTGCAATGAGAGGGCACGGGCACCCCTGATGCTGCTCCTCCTCCTCCTGCGGCTGCTGCTGCTCCTGCAGCTGCTGCCACTGCTGCAGGTCCGCAAGCAGAGAATCGTCCACCTCCCAGCCGCTGCTGAAGCCGTCCAAGGTAGGAAGCAGCAACGAAGCGGCGCTATCCCACTGCATCCACTCCTGCAGGTTACCACCATCCAAAAAAGCACCACTCAGGTTACCACCATTCAGGTTCCCACCATTGTCTGCCGCCAACGGGAAGCTCAAAGGTTCATCGACGAATGGAGTGCAAGGGAAGGCTGAACCGAACTGCCCATCCCATTGCTGCGCCTGCTGCTGCTGCTGCTGCTGCTGCTGCTCCTGCTGCTGCTGCAGCTGCTGCGACTGCTTTTCCTGCTCAACTGCCTCTTGCTCCTCCTGCTCCTCCTGCTCCTCCTGCTCCTCCTGCTCCTCCTGCCCACCTTCCCTCTGCGCCACACCCTCTCCTGATTCGCCACCAGACAGCACCCCTCGACCGAGGCCCAAAAAGCGAGTCAGCCGCAGCACCCGCAGCGACTTGCAACCAGCGGCCAGCGCCTCTACTGGAGGCCCGCTGCGGTGCACATGGAAGGACGACACCAGGCACAGCTCCTCCAGGCTCGGACAGTGCCGAGCCAGGCTCTCCAGTGCGGCGGCTGTGATGGGGTAGGTTGGGCAGGCTGTGGCGACAGGGAGCGGCAGTGGAGCTGATGCAAGAGGGGCGGATTGAGCAGGCGGAGTGGCAGCAGCAGCAGCAGCAGCAGCAATGCCGGCCAGACCAGCCGACGCTGCTGCAGCAGCAAGAAACGCGGTGGAGATAGGAGAGGGGGAGGACTGGGGGAGGGGAGATGGCACGAGAGTAGAGGCAAGAGCTGCAGCTGATATGGCAGTGGCAGAATCAGGCGGAAGAGGCGCATACTCATCCAATCCCTCAATATCCACTTGCTCAACCTCTGCTGATTCCGCTGCTACTGCAGCAGCTGCTGCTGCTACTGCTGCTGCTACTGCTGCTGCTGCTGATGAGCCACCAGAAGCGTCCCAAGGTGCATCCAGAGCCGCGTCTTCAGTCCCATCCTCGATTCCATTCCACTCAGGCACTCCATTCCCATTCCCATCTTCATCCGCCGCCACGCCATCCGCTTCCGCTTCCCCGTCGTCACTGTTGTTGAGGTCGTGCGCCACGTCTTCAATGCGCAGCACGCGCAGAGCCGGGCACCCGCGCGCCACACTCGCGATCCTGCACGCCCAGCAGCGGGAGGGGTGGGGAAGAGTGGGATGGTGTGGGATGGGATGGGATGGGATGGGATGGGATCGCACAGGGCAAGCGACGCGGCAGAGGGTGAGACAGAAGATTGGAATAATGGATTCAAGGGAGCGTGACAGGAACAATGCGAGCGGAGCAAGTGATTGGAGTGGGCGAGGCACGGTGGAGAGGAGTGATGGATGGGAGTGGTAGAGACCTAGGAAGTGAAGGTGAGATGAGGACAACCAGCAGCACTCCTCCCAAAGGCTTTAATCCATCGCCATCCCTGTCACCGACCCAATCCCAATCCCGATCCCCCGAACCCCAACCCCAATCCCCGCAACCACGCGCATCATCACCCACATGCACCCAAACCATCTCCTTCCCAACCCATCCTCGTTCCCAAACCAAGCGAGCGGCACGGCTCTTGGCAGGCAGCTGCACAGCTGCCCACAGGCAAGCCCAGTCCGCTGCCAGGCCTATTCCGTTGGAATGGGGACGCCGCAGCTGCTGCTGCGGGTAGAGTTCGGAAGGGCCGACCAGCAGCCACAACAGAAGCAGCAGCGCATACGCAATCACCAGCCGCCCACGACGGGCGAAGCAGAAGACTCGATTTAGAACGGGCAGCGCTAGTCATTTCAGGGTGCGGGTAGCTGAGGGGGCAGCTGGCAGCCTGAATGGCATCATTGCGACGGCCATGGCTCTTTTTCAGGCGCCAGCTGCAGTGTGCCAAGGGACACGCAGTCACGCACACGGACAGTCTTGTTCTTGAGCCTCAAACAACGATGGCCACAAAACGGTTGGGAAACAACGGACGGTTGCCACGCAACAGCGCCCCTCTGGCGCCTAAAATAAATTGATTCGATTTTGACAATTGACTCAAGCTCAATGAGCGAACGCATGCGCATAGCGAGAGAAAACGAAGGGTCCGAGAATAGATGAGAAGCGGCACGAGCATTCTACTCTGAGGTAAGGTATCAGCAATAATACGTACCCCATATCAGTGACGCCACCATCCGCCATCGCAAAACACAGCTCCTCAAGGCCTGGGAAAGCACCCCGTCCAAACACCTCTAACGCGTCATCCCTTAACGGAGCAGGCCCGCCCAGCAGGTTCAGCACGCGGATCCTCCCCAGCTTGTAATCGCTCAGCTGCTTCGGCAAATCGTTAAAATCACAGTGCCTGCTCCAGGACAGATCAATCGAGTCGACTTTAGGGCAGCGGGACACTAAACTGCTGACGTGGCGCGCCTCCAAGCCCTCGTCCAGGCCATCCCAGTGGCCAATCACAACGCTCTCCAGCTTTGGCCAGCACTGGCGCACGTACTCCAAGCCAGACGGGCTGACGTTGGCTCGGACGCGGCGGAGGTTCGGAAACGACGTTCGGAAGACCTGCCGAAGTTCTTCTTCCGAACCTGGCCAATCAGGGTGGACATCAGCCAGGTCCAGGTCCGTCACCGAGTCGAAGCACGTCCCCAGGCTCGGAAGGTCGCTGAGGCTTCCGCGCAGGTGTAGCTGTGTACGCGTGGCACGTTCCCATTGGCGCCAGGCCCGGCAGACCAGCGCGCAGCAACCGCGGTCTCTTGGCGCGTCAACGAGGGAGACTATAACGCGGACAAGCTCGGAGGGAAGAGAGGCGAGAGAGGGCTTGGGCGAGGACCCTCGAGCGTGGCAAGGCTCAGCGTCTAGAAGAAAACGCGACGAATCAGCGCGATCGCGGGAGAGAGCATACGCGGAAGAGCGTGACTGGTGCAGCAGAAGTCCCTTCTCTTCCACTCCCTCCTCCTCCGTCAATCCTTCTGTCTCCTTGGGATTTTCGAGGGGCGAAAAATTACCGTCCAATCGGCGAACCTTGCTCGGCGGGGCAAAAGATTCGAAACTCGGGGAACGAAAGTGGCTGGTTGATGCTGATGAGGATGCGGGAGAGTCAATTGTCACTGAAGTGCTGATGTTGCTCGGTAAAGCAGCATTCTGTAACGGGGATGAAGACGCGATCAAGGAAGAGGTCATGATGGTTCGAGGAGTCGGGTGGACAACTAAAACTGCGGATTTCTCTGCGTAGTATCACTCTGCGGAAGTGTTTCGTTCAGCAGCTGAGCCCCCTCTCAATAACAAGGCTTCCACCAAGAATGTCTGCTGCTACAACCACGTCTGACTTCACCACACGCCATGCGTCGCACCCATTGAATCGCACACGAGAGGCGAGGCGAGTGCGAGGCGATAGGCAGCTCATCCTGTCCGTTCGAAGAAAGAGCCGTGTGAGATTGAAAAATCAAGCGTGGTTGCGGTTTTCAGAATTCAGAACAATCGCCGAATCCATGAAGTGATATAGAAAGCTGGGAAACTATTCTAGTGCGAACGTGTTCTAAGGTAGTCTAAGGAAGAGGCACGCGCGATTTCTAAAGCGAATACAGTGCGAGGGTAGCAGCAACGGTACTCCCTAGAGGAAGACTCGGGAACGAAACCATGACTGGAGACATGACGTGACCCTAAACGACCCGTCCTACCGTCGTCGGCACGCGGAAAAGGTGAAGCAGCTGCCGCTAAGAGAGCTATCGCGGGCTATTTGGTGAACATGGAAAAAAAGGAAAACGCGGCGGATTTGTACGTGTGGTCCATTGTGAAAGGTGGTGGTAAGAGGGATGTGGAGTGGATGTGAAGGAGAGGCGAGGGTAGAGCGAAGCAGAGGAAGTATGAAGCAGCTTCGGGAAGAGAAAACGAGGAAGTAGGAGAAAGCGAAAAGGGGTTCTAAGGCAGGCCCAGAAACACGCAAGAGGCTGACAGCGGGCGAGAAAAAAAAAGATACGAGCTGAGAACGTGGGTAGCGGAGGGTGTGGGTCAGAGCACGTCGAAACCTGAGCGCCTCAGCCGAGACTCGGGTATATCTCTTCACGCAACGTGACGGTGGTTGCTTGAGTCAAACGAAAGCAAATCCGAGGTTTTGGCTGATTCCAAATTTTAAGAGTTGGCGTTCTAAACGGCACTAACCACGAATCGAATTCTTCAAGCGTAAAATACTTGGCACAAATTAGTAGGTTGTGAACAGAGGACGGCCTTCTGTGGAGTAGCTAACAAGCAAGCAAGCACTTGGCGGACACGAACAGAAGTATGCAGCCACCTTGAGCAAAATCACCCGCCTCAAACCTGTGTCGGAAAGGGCATTCCATGCAATAACTGCTCTGAACCGCTCTGAAATTTAAATAACCGCTTTGTCCCGCTGGTGCCTGTAGCCTCCCTTGATTCTCACGAGCCACCACCGCCTGCTCCGCTTGCTTCTCCTCACACGCAAGCGGCACAAGGCGAAAATCAGGTCCGGAGGGGGAAGGGCGGAATGGAGGCCGTTCGAAGGAGGGTTTGAGGACGACGTGGGCCAATAGGAAGCTGAGATGGAAGTGAGTGCGCGGATTGTACGTAGCGTGTGAACGGAGCAATGCGCTTGCTGCGGTGGTGGCCCCCAGCGGGGATTCGATTTGGTTTTTCGCCGATGGTGCTGATTCGTCAACGAGGTTTTACGCGGTTTGCTTAGACGGCCAAAGCCTCGCCGAATGCACGGGGTTTGGTGGGCTTCCGATTTGAATTGCCGGTTTCGCCAACTCTCAACGGGCTAGTTCAATAGTGGTCATGACGTAGTAGGCATCAGAGCTCCAGTCCAACCCCAATATGACCTTGATTTCACTTCTATTAACTGAATCATAAGCATTCGGGTGTACCATATGTTACAGAAACCCCATTACCCGATGGGTGTAGATGTGATCTTCGACAATCTCCAGGCCTCCAGCTTCAACCTCATCCTCTTCTGGTTCTCCCCCACGTCAAGCCACCCACCGAGACTTCAGTTCAATTCCTCAGCCAACCTCCTCACACCCACCTGCTTTAGGGCGCGTCACAAGTAAAATATCGAGGAAGGATCAGGGTTGTTCACCGAACCTGTCAAACCGATCGCCATATCGGTGTGTCACGACTGCTTTGAAGTTTCAAGTGACACGATCGTAAAAACATGGGGCAAAATTGCCCGATGTGGACGAAATTGCACGATCGATGTGTGACAGGGGCACATCGATCGCCTGACTTAGAAGGGAAAACTGTACGTTAGCGAAAATAAACGAAAATGTGTAACCACCTAAACACCGATTCTAGGCAGGATCGATGTTCTACTTGTGACGCGTCCTTACTAGGGCTTCCCTGCTTCACAGACCCTCCTTTTTTTCCGTACCGCTCTATTTCTGATTTTCCTGCAGGCTTCTTTAGTAGGGAAACGAGAGGATTGACCGAGAACCAACTCGCCAGATCCTCTGATAACTGGCCATTGCTTACCCCCAGGGTCGTTTTATATTTTAGGGTTGACGTCACATTTTTCCACATGGCCACAAATATGGCCGTCGTGGAGGAGCCATTGTACCCGATAGCCATTTTAATTGACGAGCTTAAAAATGACGACATTCAGCTGCGATTAAACTCGATAAGGCGGCTGAGCACGATCGCGAGGGCGCTCGGCGAGGACAGAACGCGGAAGGAGCTCATTCCGTTTCTTAACGAGAATAACGACGATGATGACGAAGTGCTGCTGGCCATGGCGGAAGAGCTCGGTTCCTTCATTCCGTGCGTCGGTGGGATCGATTTCGCCTACGTCATTCTCCCGCCGTTGGAGACGCTCTGCACCGTGGAGGAGACGGTTGTACGCGATAAGGCGGTGGAGTCGCTGTGCAAGATCGGCCAGCAGATGAAGCCGAGAGACATTGTCGAGTACTTCGTCCCGCTCGTTCAGGTGCGCGTCCATTTCAGGTGCGCGTCCATTTCAGGTGCGCGTCTTTTTCAGGTGCGCGTCCATTTTAGGTTTTCCTCCATTTCAGGTGCGCGTCCATTTTAGGTTTCCCTCCATTTCAGGTTCGCGTCCATTTTAGGTTTACCTTCATTTCAGGTTCGCGTCCATTTTAGGTTTACATCCATTTCAGGTTCGCGTCCAGGTTCAGTTATGGCTTTGATCTCCCATTGCTGAGTACGATGTGGAACAATATTGTGTATTGACCGGACTATATCGAGCATTTTATCGAAGTCGATGCTATTAGTGCCAGGGTCGCCTTTGAGAACTCTCAGAACAGACTAAACCGTGTCGCTCAACCGGACTGTATCGAGCATTTTTTTGGAGTCGATGCTGATAATGTCAGGGGTCCAGACCGCTTTCGTCTACACAGCTTTCAGTATCGCAAACCGCAAACTTTTTACTCGTGCCGCGCTTCTGACTCTGACTGACCTACTTTTCTCGCAGTTGATTACATTGCTTACCGATTTCCCTCTGCTCCCACTGGCAGTGGTGTTGTCTGTCTCGCATCCGTGATTGCCGCTTCGCCGGACGCTGCGGAACACGTAGAAAGGAAAATGTCATATTTATCGCAACCTGCGGCCTTTTTTATCGCAACTTGCGGCCTTTTTTATCGCAACCTGCAACAGAAAGACTGGCTATCAACGCGCGCTTCCTTACGTGCCGTTCCGAGCCTGAGTGCGACGGAGCAACAGACAGCTGCGCTTGGCCGTATGAGGCCTGCAGGCTTGCGTTTTTCATCTCCAGTCCCACTCCATTCGTTAGACCCCTCCGATACTCCCTTGCGTTTTCATACTCCATTGTTTCTCATCATCCCCTCCCCACCTCCTCCCTTCCCGCCTCCCCTTCCCCGTCCTCTCCTCCCCTTCCCTCCGCTTTTCCGGACCTTGGGGCCCGTCCGCCTCCCTTCCCCATCCGCATCAGCGTCTGGCGGCGGGCGACTGGTTCACGGCGCGCGTGTCGGCGTGCGGGCTGTTTCACATCGCGTACCCGGCGGCGACGGAACAGCAGCGCGCCGAGCTGCGCACGCTGTACGGGCAGCTGAGCCACGACGACATGCCCATGGTGCGCCGTTCCGCCGCGCTTAACATGGGCAAGTTCGCCGCCACCGTCGAGCCGCAGTTTCTCAAAACCGACATCCTCGCCTTCTTTAAAGACCTCACTAACGACGGTGCGTGCGGGGAAGGGCGCCTGCAGGGGAGGGTGCTTGCAGGGGAGGGTGCGTGAGGGGGAGGGCTGTAGCAAAGGGGCGGGGGCGAAGGGATGGAAGGGAGGGAAGCAATGGCTGTAGCGGAATGGGGGAAAAGGTATGGCTGTAGCGAAGGTATGGGAAAAAGGATGGCTGAAACAAGGGGAAGTGCGAAGGTGGAGGGGTGCGCGGTGGCGTATGCGTCGCCTAAAAATCATGTTCCCCTTACGTCCCATGTTGCCCCGTGCCCCTCGTCGTTGCATTCACTCCTTGTTCCCTGCAGATCAGGACTCAGTGCGGTTGCTGGCGGTGGAGGGGTGTGCTGCGGTGGGCAAGCTGCTGGAAAAGGAAGAATGCATATCCACCATCCTCCCCATCATCCTCTCCTTCGCCCAGGTGAATAAAAAAAAATCTCGTGCTTCCCGCTCGCCGCTTCCCGCTCGCCGCTTCCCGCTCGCCGCTTCCCGCTCCCTGCTCCTCCCTCCCTGCTTCCTGCTCTCTGCTCCCCGCCCCCTCCTCCATGTTCCCGGCTCCCCGCTCCCCGTTTCCCCCACTCCCCATTCCCCACTCCCTAATCCCTGCTCACCTCTTCGTCACCTGTGCATTGTTTTTAAAAGGGTCGCTAAGTTAGAACCCTAGTTGTCTTGTTACCCCGTAACTTGCTGGTTCTCCCTGCTCGCTCCTGCACTTGCATTTTCCCGCTTCTCAACTCTCGCCTCCCCTTACGGGCCTACGCCCCTGCGTGCTGTTAGACTTTTCTCTGTTTCCATCTCTGCCCTCTTCCGGGACCAATGCGCATGCTGAGAAGTTCCTCTGCTGACGTGGCATGTGGCATGTGGTATGGCATGTGATGTGCCATGTGGTGTGACATGTGATGTGGCATGCGGTGTGGCATGTGATGCGGCATGTGATGTGGCATGTGATGTGGCATGTGATGTGGCATGTGGTGTGGCACAGGACAAGTCGTGGCGTGTGCGCTACATGGTGGCCAATCAACTGCAC